GAACAGCGGACACTGAGCGTTGTCTTTCGATGCGAACAGATCCACCGCGGCTCTGCCGTAACGCACCCACAGCTGGCTCACAATCCTTGGATGTAGAGTCCAGTCTGCATAAAGTGGTATACCTCTGGACAGTAGATCTGCCCCGAGGTTCTTCACTCCCGGTACGTGCGTCGCTCTCAGAGAGAGGAGACGCCTACCGCTCCATAGGATAAGTTTGCGCGCCAGTGTGTGTAACTGGAGAGAACGCAAACCCCCTTGGCGGTTAATATACGATATTGTGGTCGTATTGTCTGTCCTCACGAGGACGTGATGTCCCCTGAGGAAAGGCAGAAAGCGTTTTAGGGTGAGAAACACCGCTAAAAGCTCCAGGTAATTTATGTGTGCCCGCTGGAGGTCTCTGCTCCAGAGACCCCTCACCGGGCGACCTTCATAAATACCTCCCCAACCTGTCAGACATGCGTCCGTGGTGACCACTTTCCGTGAAAGGACAGCACCCATAGGCACACCTCGTACTAGAAAAGTCGGGTACAGCCAGTGGCACAGTGCCATTACGCATTTCACAGTAACCATCACTCTCCACGCGCCATGGCGCGCGGGGTTTAGTTTTAGGGGGGCCACGCAGCGCTGAAACTCCCTCATGTGTAAGCGTCCCAGTCGTACGACCAGGATGGCTGACGCCATGAGCCCCAGCAATCGCAGGCATGATCTGAAGAGAACATGTTTGCGCAGCTGGAAAAGAGCGAGACAAGCTCTGAAAGCTTTCACTCTATCCGCTGACAAGCGAGCTGAAAAGGGCACCGAGTTCAGGTGTAAACCCAGGAAGAGTATAGTCTGCGCGGGGCACAACATGCTCTTCTCTGTGTTTATTATGAAACCCAGGTTGAGCAGGTGCTTTACGAGGACATTTGTCTGCGTAACAGCCTCCTGCTCCGACTGTGCGAGAAGCAGCCAGTCGTCCAGGTAGGTCGCCAGGCGAATACCCTGTTGTCTTAACGGGGCTATCGCGGCTTCCGTACATCGTACAAACACCCTTGGACTGAGAGACAGACCGAAGGGGAGTACTCTGTATTCATAACAGATCCCCTGAAATGCGAATCTCAGATATTTCCTGTGTGGGTAATATACTGGGATGTGAAAATACGCATCTTTCAGGTCGACTGATGTGAACCAGTCGTCTTGTCGCACGAGCCGCAGCAGAGATGTGAGTGAGCATTCTGAATTTATATCTTCTTAGATATTTGTTCAGAGCCCTTAAATCAAGTATTGGCCGAATTCCGTTCCTTCCCCGTTTGGGAACGAGGAAGTACTTGGAATAGAAACCGCCCTGACTCTGCTCGGCGGGTACAATAGATATAGCCCTCTTTTCTAGGAGAGAGAGAATCTCTTTCTCCAGAATATGGGTTGACTCTCCTCGGGCCTGCGAATGCAGAATGCCCGAGAAGCGAGGGGGGGTGACAGCGAATTGGAGTCTGTAGCCCCGTGTTACTGTCTTGAAAACCCAAGCAGATGATGTGAGCATCTTCCACTGCATGCTCCTTAGAGCCAGTGGAGATGTCACATCTCTTCCCCTCTGAGTCTCTATTTGTTGTGTTATGGGGCCCTCTAGTGTCTGAACACAGTGGTGCCCCCTTTCGACAATCCCCACCGACACTGCGCATGCGCATGACGGTGGTGCCTTCACAACCCCAGCCGGCACTGCGCATGCGCGTGGCGGTGGTGCTTTTAAAACCCCAGCCGGCACTGCGCATGCGCGTGACGGTGGTGCCTTCACAGACCCGCCTGTAATCCGCCTTTTGAGAGATGCCGAAGCTGCTCTCAGAAGGGGAACAGTTGGCGGGCTGTTTATTGGTTTTATTGTTTTTCTTATCATTTTTTTGAGCTGCGCCCTCGGCCTGAAGCCTGGATGCGTCAGCTGCAAATGTTTAATGACAGAGGAACAAACAGATTTGTGACATGTGTTTTCGCGGACTTGAGGATGGTGTTGAGGCATCTCTCGAGGCGGCGGGAACACATTTAGAGCTGGGGAACCGTGGACTTCCAGCTCTGTCACAGAGGGGAGAAGGAGGGGCTGTCACGCCGCTCGCTTCTTCTTCCTCGCCTGCTGGCCGAAATTCTGGGTTGGCTGCGCCTGGGCTGCAGCCGGAACCGGAGATTTTCTGGGCCAGCTCGCCCTCGTCTCCAGCCTGGGCTGGGGACTCGGGGCGGGCTGCGACCTCTGCGTTTTCGGTGTTTTAAACCGAGCAGGGTTCAAGGCAGCTTGGGCGAAGGACTGCTGCTGCGAAGGACTGCTGCTGCGAAGGCAGCGGCTGGACCCTTCGAGGGAGGCAGAGGTGGAGTGCCTCGTCCTCCCTCTTTTTCGACTCACACCTCTTTTGCATGGAAGCAAGAGCGGAGCCGAAAATTCCCTCGGGAACGATGGGCATATCCAGCACATCCTCCTTTTCCCGGTCTGGGAGGTTGGTGAGGTTGAGCCATCTCGCTCTTTCCTGCACCACCATGATCCCCATTGCCTTACCTGTGGCCTGGACGGCGCAGCGTTGGACACGGAAACAGATGTCTGTGACCGCTGCCATCTCGTCCAGAGTGGCTGCCCCCGGGTTACCCGACAGGTCCTCGCAGAGCTTCGCTTGGTAAGTGGTTAGCAGCGAGGCCACATTCAGGGCCTGGCGGACAACGCTGCGGCTTTGTTGGAACGTTCAGTCATTGTCGACTGAAATCGGTCCGATTTTGCCGGCAGCGTGGGGTTCCTGCTTGGTGACGGGCCCATCCTCGGTAGGAGGTGGGCTGCTACCAGCGGTTCCATGGGCGGTATGCGGAGCAGGCCGAGCTTCTCCATTCCGTCACAGTCTAGGGAGGAGGCACCCTGGATTGGGACCTTGTTGCTGAAGGGCCGGTCTCTCCACGAGACCGACACCTCATCCAACATCTCCGGGAAGACCGGAAGGAGTTGCCTCTTTGTCCGTGCTGCTTGGGGAAAATGTTTCCCTTCGTAGCTGGACCTGGAGGTCTCCTTGGCCATTTCAGGCCACGGGATGTCGAGTCTGGCCGCAGCGCGTTTACACACGGCCTGCAGGTCCATACTCAGACAGGGCGAAGCTGGTGTGCTATCGTCTGGGAGAGCAGCCCTCGCTCCAGGCTTTGCAGCCCTCGCCGATGACATGAAGATGTCCTCTTCATGTTCATCCGACTCGGACAGGAGGAACACCGAGGCGTCCTCTTCGTCCTCGTCGTAGTGAAGCTCGAGGACATCCTCCGCGGGTGAGACCATGGTGAGGTCTAACCGGGAGCCCCAGCTCGGTAAAGCGTGGGGTCCCGTTCCCGCGTGTCTTGCCGCCACCGGGTCCCGGCCTGCCAGGGCGCGGGAATCCGGTTCTGCGGCCATCGCAGATACTGAGCCCCAGACCGACATGGAGAGGGGTTCACTCTCTGTGGCAGATGTCCCCGCGTCTTGACTGCCGGCCGGCAGGTCAGAGGACATGGGGGGTTCCTGCTCCGACAGGCTAGCTTGGCGTGCTAGCCGTCGGCGGAGGCTCTTTACGGTGAAGCGGACACAATGTCCGCACGAGCCGGGGTTGTCGATAGCGCCTCGGGCGTGTTCCAGCCCGAGGCAGGACGAGCAGACCTGGTGTGTGTCTGTGCCCGAGATCTTCAACCCGCAGCCGCAGAGTCGAGCCACCGAGTCCCTGACTCCTCTGGTGTGAGGGAGAGGGGCGTCCATCTTGTTCGCCTTGTGGCGTGGAGAGGACCCGCTCTCAACAGGTAGGTTGGGAGAAAAAGAGGTAACCACCCTGTCCTTAATCCGGAGAAAAGGACGGTGTGGGTCTTTTATTCCCGGAGAATACTGACTGGTGTGGCAGTATGCTCCTTTTAATCCTTTCCTCCTCCGTGGGGAAGAGAAAAGAAAAGACTTCCTCGCTACCGTGGTGTCGGTAGTGAGGGAGCAAGCTAACGCTAGCTTGAAAAAGTCAGACCTAGCTTACTTTCCGGGGAAAGAGAGCGGCGAGGTCGATTTCAACAATAACTAGCGTTAGTAATTACCGTCTTCCTGCGAAGCAGAAGGAGTAGCCGGCAAGCGCCCGTCGACCGAAATGGATATTTGGGTTCAGTCTGTGGACCGTGAAGCTTGTCCGGCTACCATAGAGATGTGCTCTGAAGCGAGAAGAGGTGTTTGAATGGCGCATGCGTTGTGGCGCAAGCTACTTATAGGGGGTGATTTCTCTGACGCTGACGTCAAGATCTCCAGCCAATCAGGATTGGCGTAATGAGATTGATGCTTCTGTTTGCTCCGCGATGAGGCGCATCCCATAGTGAGACATCGAACGGAGTGTTATGAATGAGAACGAAATCTGTTATGTGGCTTTTGCAGAAATATAGTTAGTTGGTCTGTATAATATAAACGTACCTGCCCATCTGCCTGCGCACCCGTTGTGAATTACCAGAGCCACAAGCTGCTAGCTTAACTTGCTTAGCTTAGTCAGTACTGGCAATGGCCATGTTCATTGTTTACGTTTATTATGACAATTTTAGAGCGGCTTTAGATGGATGCCTGGACAGAGGGGCTGTCAGCTAGCTATCATTTTATTGAAAAAAATATAGTTTTTAAAATCTATCTCGCTCTTGCTGGTTTCTCCAATGTTACCTACCCAAGCTTTAATGATGTCACTATTGATTGCTTTGTTTTCTTATATGCCTTCTTTTCCCTCTCTCTCGTTGCTCTCTTCTTTTTTCTCCCCTCTTTTCTTTCTTCTAATTTCTGCCCTGTGTTCTTTATATGAAAGCCTGACCATGCAAGGTCATACGTAGTCCTCAAATGTTTGTGTTAAATTCATATCATGTTATGACCTGCTGAGCTGTGCATTAAATCAGAAGTTGTGTCAGCCGGAGCAGTGGCCTAATGGGAGCCAAGGTTGGGGCACTTTGGCCTTGTTTCCACAGTAGTGATGAAGAGTAGGAAACTCATTTTGCAAATCAATGTTGCTCTCTTTCCCTCTCTCTTGCAGTCTCAGCAGAAGTGCATTGTGATCTTTGCTTTGGTCTGCTGCTTCGCCGTGCTGGTGGCACTGATGTTCTCAGCGGTGGACTTTTGGGGTGACGATGAAGACGGGATCACAGAGGAGAACTGTAGCAGGAACTGCAGGTGAGTGCTGCAGAACAAAGGCCGTTCTGCAACATAGGGTTGGCCAAAAATAAGATTGTAGCTTAGTCCATTTATGCTACACAAGTCAAACATGACTAAACAAAACAGAAGAAAGACAGGAATAGAGGGGCTCTGTAAAGATGTATGTGGGCAAAATAATCTTTTCCAATGGTTCTCAATGGTTATGGCTTTGTTCAAAACACTACACAGGGTTGTGCTTGTGGGAGTGTGCCTACTTGGTGTCGTATCAACATTTAATGAGTTAAAGCTTTTCTTTCAAAATTGAATGAGGTTAAACTTTTTTTTTCCAGATGACCCTGCATTTCTTTTGTTTTCTTGAGAAACTCAGCATTGGCGCCCCTCCTGTGCTTTTTTCTTCTTCAATACACCCAGTTAAGTTACGTCAAACCTTAACCAAGTAATACATTCAAATCAGTATTATATTTTTTGCTAAATCAAATCATTTAAAATATGTTCTTCCAAGTTGACTGAAAAAAGTCACAAAAAAAAAAGTAAAATTTTGAAGAAAAGTAAAACAAATTGGAAAAATGTCAGATTCTGAGAAAAATGTCAAATTTGAGATGCATTGTGGGACATGTAGTTTATGGGCAACGTGCTTCTGTAAATCTGCATGTAACCGTATAATAAACATACTATATTCTTTGCAAGCTGTTGTGGGGCCACATGAAATGAAGTCACGGGCCGGATTTGGCCCCCGGGCCTTGAGTTTGACACCCCTGATTTAGAGGGAGTGTACGCTCGTCTCAAAGTAAAAAATTGAACATGTCAAGTAGCCCCAATACATAAACAAATGTGCTTCCCCTAATCCTATTGTAGCCTCCCCCCTACCTGAAATGATTACCAGGCTCTTCTGATAGTTTCTTTAGCAAGTTTCAAATGGATCCCCAGACACAAATCCACTGCAGTTTGTTCTGGTGGTGAAATTGGCTGATCAGCAGTCATTTTCTCTGATACAGCAATCCTTGCTCTCCACTTCCTACTGGTTCCCCCCCATTAGACTCGTATCATCCAATTTAACATTCAGCTTTGAATTACTTCCCCCTCTCTGTCTCTTTCTTAATGTCCGTGTCCATCTACTCTCTTCCTCCTTTTCCCCAAACCAGCCATTTAATAACCTTTCAGAGAACTCTATCATGAATCCCTCTCTCTTCCACTTACAGCTGAAAGTGTAATGCAAACTTGTAAAGCTACATTTGGACTCCTCTCCTGCTACGAAGGCCTCCTAAAGCTCAGGGGTTGAATGGGAGATGAATACGAGGCTGAGGAAGGGAGGAAGGGTGAGCCAGATGGAGGGAGAGAAAATAAAAGTAAATTTTTGGGTTGGAATGAGTGTGAAATGAACAGATTCATCAGCTTTTATGGGCAGTTCAATACTCAAACTCATTACAGAAATGTGTAGTGACATTTTTTCCCAATTTGCACTCTTTGTTAAATCCAATTGCCTTAATTATAAAGTTTTACTGTGACATGTATCATATGAAAGAGCTGTAACGCATGCACGTGTAACATAATTGATGATTTTGTTAAAAATATTTGGTTCAAAGCAAGTTCCATACGTAATGGGAAAAGTGATAGATTACTATGTGACTATGAGAGGCATTTATAATGGGGTTCACTGAGGCTTACTCGTGCTCAATTAAGTTCCTTAAGGTACAGGTATTCATCAAAGAAATGCATGTAAAGCCCTTCTGAGTCTGTATTCAACCTTGAATCGAAAGGGTGAATGTAAAATGATCAAGAGATTAACTTAGAAATAGAATTCATAACTATTTCTTCTTCATCTTCACACAGTAGGCTGAGCTTCTCTCTTGCCTTGCTTTGCTGCCATTAAAACACTCTCTCTGAGCCTCTTAGCTGCAATGACTCAGCAGTTGTTGTGTTTGTAAAGTTGTAATTCAGACATGTCTCATGCAGCTGGTTGTTTTGTTATGCAGATTTCCCTTTCATCTATTTGCTCCTGCATAATAAACAGTGCTAATGCAGGCATCTCAGGGACAGGAGACCTGGGGTTGCCTGCTGCTATTGCATCTGAATTAACACATTTTCCAGTAATGCAGATACATTATGATGCACACTTCATGTCATTGTCTAATACAATCAGAACCTCAATTTGATTCATATTCCTTCTGATGAACAACAACCTCAGCTCTGATTGCAGTAAAACAGGATTTCTCTAGGCTTTACAAGACTGTCTGTTGCTTTGTTATTGGAGCAAAGCAGTCGCAGGTCCATTTGACAGTCTGATGAATTGTGCAATTGTGTGTAATTGCCTGGCATCAGATAGATAATAAGCAGGTTAGGATTGATTTGAAGTTGCCTTGTGGAAAGGCTGAAACAACAGAAAAGCCCAGTTGCTGCATCGCGAAAATGTTGTGAAGCTTTAAGACGGATCATTTTGCATTGCAGTTTAAATATTACATTTCTTCCACCATTGAGCAAAGGGACATTATGAATTAAAAGTGTTGAAAGAACAATCAATGATTCAGTAATGCATACATATTTACCAAAGATTTAAAAGTGTATTATTTAATTAAAAAAAGAGTACCAACAAGCAATTCATTTATCTTAATTTCCAACTCACACGTTAATGCTTTTAATTCGGAGTCTCCAAGAACCACTTTGTTTGATCAGCAGCACTGAATTTAAACAGAGAACCACAAAGAATGACTTTGCTTACAAAAACTCTGCAGTGGTGCACAAAAATAAGATTGCAGTTTGGAAAACATGGGGGTCAGAATGGATGAAAAGTTATTTCTGAAAACTCAAATGTTAGGACTTGGGTCCTGACTTGTGAATTGAGTGCAAAGACTCAACACTTACTTGGGAGTTGTTTAAGGTCAGTATCTTGAACAACACACATACAAGTGAATGCAAACTACTGGCCATCGGTCAAAATGTCAGGAACATGACAGCAGAGGTGACAGACACGGAACAAGGTGATACGCTAAGAACTGGCACTCTACATTAATTTGCATGAGAAACAGAGAACAATGGTTAAAAGCAATGTAAATGTCCTGTCCCAAGATCAGATAATGTATTGAAATCAACATATACATTGTGTGTACAATGACGACAGTGTTCTGGTTGTACCTGATGAAACACTAGACTTGGCATTTACCTTTAAAATGGACAGCCTGCAGGGAGCAGTGCAGCAGAGGCTCCTGATGCACATGTTAATGTCCTGGCTGCTCACCCAGAGCTCAGGGAAGCTCAGGAGAGGCTGGATAATTTATATCAGATGTCAGGCGCTGACACTGCCACATCCCATGCTGTTACACTAAGTGTGGTGCAGCAGGCACTCTGAATCCCAAGCATGTGTATTTACAGTACAGTATCCTAATCCTGATCTTTTTGTTTAGTGGATGAACTTGCATCAGCCATGACATCTCTGTAAAGGTGTGAAATCAGTTATTATTTATATCATCAGGAGGGGAGTTCATCTTTTGATCCAACTGTTCTTACCTACCACAATGTGAAAATAAGAATCCATTATCATTCAGAGAGTGATTTCACATTCAGACACTCTCTGTCTCAAGTGCGCACGCACACACACACACACACACACACACACACACACACACACACACACACACACACACACACACACACACACACACACACACACACACACACACACACACACACACACTCTCTCTCTCTCTCTCTCTCTCTCTCTCTCTCTCTCTCTCTCTCTCTCTCTCTCTCTCTCTCTCTCTCTCACACACACACACACCCACACCATGAAGTTTACACCACTTAATGTAGGTATTGGATGCAGGGAATGAATAACACCCATGAGTGCGCAGATGGTTAACAATGGAGGAGACCAGCATCGACATCACAGACTGCATAAATCGATGAATCCCTCGCAGGCAGAGAAGACTACCTCCCTCTTTTTCCCACTATTAATACAAAAGCCTGTCTGTTTTTTAAAACGACCATTCATCAAACCTCCCGGCCATTACAGCTGACTGAGAGGATTTCTTTTCAAATAAGATTACCAGTCCTCCTCCTGCATCTGTTTACCATCCATCCTTGTTTTGTGAGTTGTTTACTGTAGCTGTCCTAGTGTTGCCGTCATTATTGAACAAAGGAGAGTACACTGTGTGATGTGAACGTTAATCCTCTCTATCATCAGTCCGCTCTATTGGTTTGTTTGTTTGTGTCTTGTTGCACTCCTTTATCTGTTTTTCTCAATCCATGTTCAGTTGTCAAGTTGGTGAATATCAACCCTCAGTAATAGAAAAGCCAACTCTTCTTGAGATTCTCCCAAACTCTGCTATAAATATGTCAATTCCATGAGGCGTTGTGAGTGTGAGTCCTGCAGTGTGACCCTTGGCCACTTTCCCAAAGCTGACTAAGGTTTACTTTATACAGGAATACATTTTCAAGCTGAGTACTGGCAGCTGGCCCTTCAATATGATGATGCCTGTGCATTATCACCTGCAGCTCCTGCGCTCGCCTGTGTGCCCTTGAGTGAAGCACTCGATAGACCCCGAGCTGTCAAACCTTAGCTGACCCTGAGCTCCGACAGGTCCGACTGCTAACTTCAGTTTGGTGCTACAGAGTCTTCCAGGCAGGGTCGGTTCTAGGGGAGAGCCAGGGGGGGCCAATGCCCCCTAACACTGACCTCTGACCCCCCTGTGGCCCCCCTAAAAATGAAAAGTGAAAAAAGTGAAAAAAATGTATGATTTATTACACGATTTATTGAATGACGGAATAGACGGAACTAACGTTATTCATCATTCTAGTCGGACCCATTAGAGCGGTGCACTCACTTTCACTGTCCGGCTGAAGCGGCGAGAAACAAACACTTTTCATCTCTGATCATCAGAGGCTGTTGCATCCAAGAAAGACTGATTGAAACCTACGTTTCGAGAGACTACCACGATAATTGAAGGTGATTTAAACTATTGTATCCATGTAATTGTAGATGTAAAGTAGAGATGTAACGGTTCATTGCCTTTATTTTTATATAAATATGATATGGTGTGCAAAAAGTGCAAAAATTGTACTATAACTTAAGCTGAAGTAATAACTATAAGATATATCTGAAATAAATAAGTGTACTGAAACAAATACCAATAACTGTATTGCATTGTTTTCTTATGCGCAATTACTTCATACTGTCTAGTTCTCTTTTTCGTCCTGCATTTATTGTTCCCCCCTCAGAAAATAACTGCCCCCCCCAGTCAAATTGGTCTAGAACCGCCACTGCTTCCAGGAAGTCTGCCAGCACTGACTCTTATATGTTTTACAGCCAGAAATGGAAAACAAAGTGTATAAAAAGTTTACTAAATGAACAATCATAGTGCTGAAGAGTCTTCTGGTGTGTAATGAGCCACATATCTTTGGTAGATTGCAAATGTAAAGTGACAATATCTCCATGTTTTATCAACAGCTTGTTCTGTGGCCCCCTCAGATTGCCCAAAACCTTTTTTTACTGCTTGAAGATTATATTAGTTACTTGAACCTTGACAGATTGCAGGTTACATTTCAATAGACGTCCATCCTAATTGGACTGTTTTGTGATGCATCATAAGTTAGAGATGAAATAAAGCACTCATTTGTTTTGCCACATGTTATGGTTTGCAGAACATGACTTATTCATTTGACCAACCATTAAACATTTATTGCACATTCAGTCATAACATCTATCCATGTCTGCACTGTTAATGGTTGTAAAGTGTAGTGTTGATCAGATTAAAATAATAATAAAGTCATGTTTAAAAGGATTCCTCAGGTAGACGACTGTGGTTCTAACTTCACTTCTACCATTCACACTTAATAAATGAATGAATTATTAGAATATAATAGATTATAAAAGTAGGTACCTCATAACTGCATGCTCTACCTGAGCAGGCAACCTAGTCTGCAGTATATTTTCCAAATGCTTCTTATAAAATGTGTGGAATTTAGTCCAGACGCTCAGATAGTTACTTGGAAAACATTTTACAGAAATGTAATCAAGCACAGCGATGTAGAATTTATATCCGAGTTCTCCCTCATTGAGCATCCTCTCCCCATTTATGTTTTCTTATAAAACCAAGCAAGTAGAAATCGATGTCTGAGCCAGATCCAGAGAGAATTGGGTGAGCGTTGGAGCTTGATAATAGCCTGGTTCTGTGTGGCTGCAGATCTGGGGCTGCCACGGCTAATTCAATCTGTTGTCTCCAGAGCTAATGCTCCCAGACATCCTGTTGGGGTTAAACTGGAACTGAAGATTCAATAAAGGGACCTCGGAGTCATTTTAAAACGGATACATTTACATAACACCTTGGCAAAAAGGTGCTGGGATGTTCACAGTAATATATACAATCGCAAGACAAATATCACAAGAATATTTTCCACATAATGTATTCCTATGGCGCTGACAGTTGTATACATTTTCTGCATGCAATCCACTGAATCTGTCATACAGTCCATTGCTATTGCCTCAGTATATAAATGCTTGTTGCAAGTACAGTATATTGGACTACCGCAGACTGCTGATGATTACATTAAAAAGCATCATGTGATAGCGCAGGCAGAGTGGTGAATATGGGGAACCAACAAGAATACAGCAACAAATGAGAGAAAAAATCCCTGACTAGGTGTAATTGAATCTGCCATGCTGACAGCATCACACTTCAATTATTCTCACCCCCTGCCTGGGGCAACCTGTACAATATTTTATGATGCTTGAAGGAATCTGAAGGCATGTGTTGTCGAGATATCTTGATAAATCTCATTAGGCTAACGATCCAGAGGAAGGGCGGTGTTAGTTAATTTGTCAGTAGTAAGAAGGAAGGGTTGTAATCTCCAATCAGTTGCACCTAGGCTCGTAAAAATTCTGCTAGTAATGCAAACCGATAATTGCTTTGTGAAAAGACTCTGACATTCATTTCCTCAGCACTTCTCTATTAACAGGTCTCTATGGCTCGGCCTGATGAGGTCTTTCTGCAGCTTTTTCTTAATGAAGGTCCAAAACTTCACATCATTAGGTTTCTTCTTTACTCGTGTTTCTTTTCCACAGAGTGGTGCTTGTGGAGAACATCCCGGAAGACATCTCTTTCTTAGACAATGGTACATCCCACCTCCCCCTCTCAGAGGGGCTGTACAGCCTACTGGACCGAGCCATCCGAGCCGTAGAGATCGTTTCCCCGCTGTGGCTCCTCAACTCGTCCGATTATGAATCCAGCTTCCAGCCTGCTGCCAGACAGGTAACACCAGAGCAAGTCTACAGAGACTAGACTCTGCAGAAGATCTTTTCTCAGTATCCTCTTTGTGTCCTTGCCTCCTTTACACAATGATCAGTGGCAAGTATAGTTCTACTTTTCTTGGTTTTGATAAAAGCTTATTTAAAAGAAAAACTAGCAACTACATTTGTCAAAGTTTTGAGTGTTGTATATCTTTTAATAATTGACCAAGAGTCTCTTCAAATAAAAGCTGATGATGATGATGTCAAATAACTGAAGGGGGAGTCAACATTTCGATATTGTCAATAACCTATGTGTAAAGTAGCATTTAATGTCGAAATAAAGTAAAGTAAAATTGTACTTCAGCACCTGTAATAATGAATGTGCGACAGAAGATGCATTTTATCTGCATTAAGCTGTCCAACATTGTGGCTTTTAGGTTTTATCTCCACCCCGGCTCATTAGGCACACTGCACAGCTGACACATCATCTTTTTATCTTCAAATTACATTAAAGTAGAAATGTTTTTCTGCTTCAGACAAATTAAAGAGTAAAGTCAAAGAAGACCAAAATGACAGAATGAGTTATATGTGATGAGACACAAATGATCACTAGAGCAGGAAATCAATAAGTGTCTCTGTAGAGTTGTAGGCCCTACTTGCTCGTAAAAAAAATAGTCTGGGCGGTTTTCAGCTGCTTTAAGGGAGCTATTCATTTTGAAATTGAAGTGGATGTGTGTTATTGAGAGTTACCAGGCTCTGCACACACACACACACACACACACACACACACACACACACACACACACACACACACACACACACACACACACACACACACACACACACACACACACACACACACACACACACACACACACACACACACACACACACACACACACACACACACACACACACACACACACACACACACACACAAATGTGTTTTAAAGAACAGAGCATGTCGGTGCTAATGAAAGCCTGGGGCTGTTGATTGGAAAGTAATATTTCATACAATGGACTTTCAGCCTGCAGCACTCTGCAAAAAGCTGCCAAAAGTTACAACTCATTGGGACCGGAAAATATAATATATTGTAAAGGCAAAGCTAGAAGACATAGACCTGGAGATGCTCTCGTAGCCGATGCGAGTCGGTCCTGCAGAACTATTTTAAGGTGTGATGACTGAGTTTAGCAGTCGTTAACTTTCACCTCAAATCATAAAACGTTTAAAAATTCAAGATATTCCTGAACTGTGCTGTGCAATGCATGAGCATCTCACATGATTATAATGACTATCTGCAAAGATATGAAGGGTGCTTTGCTTCACTCCTGTCCACAGACTACTTTGACTGTAACTATTTTTTGCAACATTTTCTGCGTTAAAGCCTGAAAACAAGCCTATAACAATCACTAAGCTAAAATGCAAGACATTCTCTTAGAATAAATACAAGTTAATGTGTGTATATCACAACATGGGGTAGGGTTATATTGTAATCTCTGAAAGGGCACCAGTGGTGTAGTATTATACCTATACACAGTTTATAGAGAATAATTTGTAGAGATATTCTGTGTTGTAAGTATGTTTAAAGCCTCAAGAACACTGTATCCCACCTTACAGCAATAGTAATTTCCCTTGGAAAGTATACTTCATAAAAACAGCATCTATGTGACTTAAGAAATCTGGTGGCAGTGGTGTATATACTGTACATAGTTTAATGACTTGTTTTTTTATTCAATGTTCTACAGTAGTAAAAAGTCTATTTTTGGGGCTATTAGGAATGACCGGAGGGAGCTGAAGGAACAAAAAAAAGTGTCACCCACAAATATTTATACTTGATCAAAACAAAAAAGAAACCAGGCTTTGTTGGCTGCAGACAAAGGACGCCTAATCAACTGACACATATTAGAGACAATCTAAGCAATATACAAGAATCTTGTCTGAATACAAAGTGCATGGATTTCACATGACAGCAGATGATTTATGGTGTGTTCCCCTCAGGGCAGGGCTCTGCTGTCCAAGCTGCAGGGCCTGAAAGCTCGAGGCATCCAGCTGAAGATCTCCAGCGGGATGATCGACTCCTCTGAGCTCGGGATGCTCGCCAAACACTGTAATATACATTCTGCCTGTCTGTGTTCAAACATGCTGCAGTTTACAGTAGCTCAGTCTCTTTACTCTTACTATTTGTTCTGCTCATCTTTTCTTTATGTCACTCTCTTTCTACCTTTCTGTCTTTGTGTTTAATTGTTGTATTGATTCTGTTTCCGCCTGATCGGCTTCAATCTTTCTCTTTGTCTCACATGTAACTTCTTTCATTTGAATCTTTCTTAAAGAGGATATATTCTGCTCACTTTCAGGTTCATATTAGTAATCTGTGGCTCTACTGTGACATGTTTCCACGCTTTAATGTTCAAAAAGCTCTTTGTTTCTCTCATACTGCCTGTGCTGCGGCACCTCTTTTCACCCTCTCTCTTAAGCCAGAGCCCAGGCTGCTCTGATTGGTTAGCTGGCCGGCTCTGTTTTGATTGGTCAACCGCTTAGAGATGTCCCGCCCCTTAGTTTATCACGTAGAATGTGTTAGAACGTAGGAACGCTAGCCAATTGAAGCCGATGGTACATAGTGATGTCATTATGTAACAAAAGTAGACACAGGAGTCTGTTCTTTGCTTAATCTCTTTTCTCTCTCACACTCTCCACTAACCCTAACCCTAACCCTTACTAGATGCTGAAGTCCACTATGTGAACACGACCGCGCTGATCAGAGGCAGCATCCTCTCTTCCTTCTGGGTGGTGGACAGGAAGCATTTCTACATCGGCAGCTCCAGCATGGACTGGAGATCCCTTGCCACAGTATTGATCACACAACACACACAAAACACTAACTATCCCCTAACGTAAATTGCTTAGAAAATGTTCTACTGGCTCAGAATAAAAATATATATATGTATTTGATGTCTCTAGTCCTCTAATGCAAAAAGCTGTCCTTCCTGAAAACAACATGTCATGATTTCCTGTTAATTAATTTAAATGACACAAGATATTTATATATATTTCAACACATGTAATACATAACTCTTCTACTTTAAATGATAACTTAAAATCAGTGTTTTCAGGAGACTAAAGGATGATGTTATATTTATGGTTATATGTCAGACTCTTCAAAAGTCATAGATAGTGGGGGGTGAGGGCGTTTAGTGGGGGCAGCCAAGGTGAGGTTGCATGCAAAAATAGAACAGCCATTTTTTCTTTCATCTTCTAGCTTCAAAGCTGATAATCTTGCATGGTTTATTAAAGCGGGGACCCATTTCTTAGGCATTTGTATCTATCTTCAGACACCTTGAGATACAAATGGCACTCTGCATGTTAATGTGTTTTGTTGGGAATATTATAGGTTGTATCAAAGAAGACATTTGTAAATGGGATCGAAGCTTTGTTTAGGAATACTTACATCATGAAAACAAGGCAGAGAGAAAAAATATGTGCAAGCTGAAAAGCTGAAATTGACAAGTGAGTCGTTGAAATGAAAATGTAATAGAACAAAGAAAGAAAAGTGTGAACAAAGAAACAGTAAGATCTTCTATTACCCTGCTGATGTTGTGAAGATGGGCTTTGGATGACAGTTGACAAGAGGAAGGAGCCATGAGAGTGTTGGATAGAAGTATAAAAGTGTTTAGGTTAAGCGAGATTACTTGGTAAGAAGGAAATCTGGTGTTGACATTGTGATACACATCATTTTGTTCATCCTGAAAGTAATGACGATAATGTTCAGGATCATAACAAACATACTGATGTGAATGTTGGCTGTCTTCATTAATGATCTAACAGAGGAAGGAGCTGGGGGTGTTGGTGTACGACTGCAGCTGTCTGGCTCTGGACCTCCACCGAGTGTTCAGCCTCTACTGGGGGCTCCAGTACAGAGACTTCATCCCCTCCTTCTGGTCCAAGCGCCTCTTTGCCCTTTTCAACAGGGACGAACCGCTGGAGCTCACTCTGAACAGTACAAAGGCTCAGGCCTACGTCTCGGTAAGTGACTGATTTCAATGTCGTTTTTAGATTGGATAACTCTCAGCCACTGTCATTGAGATTTAGTGTTTGATTTAGTTTCATCCAGGATAAAATGATAAAATATATATGTGTTAATATGTTGTTATTTATACTCTGATTAAAACGTTTGCACAAGATTTCATCTTAAAATTCATTTTACATTTTTGAATAAACCAAAAGTTCTGTGGGTGAAAAAGTAGGATGTTGGAAGCAGCCATCGTTAACGAAATGTGTTTCCTGTCAATACAAGTTAGATGTTTGCTGTGAATTGCTGTGTATTTCGGCATTGGTTAGGATACTAATAGTATAATGCTGTCTATGTAGTCATTAGGAAGAGATTTCGGACACAAAACACACCTGTGTAAACACCCACACAGGTGTTTTGAGTCACTGATTGATTAGACCTCAGATAAGGTTGCCAGAATGGAAATTAGGCAACGTGACGTCAACATTATGAATGATAAAGGTATATTAATTCAGACATCAAATTGACATGGTTAATATTGTTCACTGATGTCCTTTGTCTTCAAGTACTTAAAATGTAACTTTTTGCTTAATTCCCTGAATTTGTTAAAGTAATGGGGTTGAAAAACGCGTTACATTCATGCTTGAAAACACATATTATGGCTTTCTTGCTCTAACTTTAAGTACAGCACACTCAAGTATTCCCATCTCCAGTCGAAGTGACAGTTAGTTCAATGTTTGATGCTGAGTGTCTCTGCAGGACGCTGTGTCTTTCAGTGTCATCCGATTTCTGGAGATGGTTGATGGGGATGTCATCCTACCTGCAGTAAATGTGGCTGAGCTGTCCATCCCTAAAGATTAATATCAACACAAAAAAAGCGCATACAAAGTACACTTAAACATGTAGAAGTGTCTGACAGCAAGAATTGAAAGTGAAACTTCAAGACATGAGCACTGACAAACACCAACACACACACATAAAACAAAGAAAGACAATCAAATTTGTGTAATTCTGGTAAACGATACAAATGATGAGAGCTGAATTTCAATGAAAACAGTTCTGAAATCGAATCATTCTGCATATTATTAAGATTTCCCTCTGAGTCACTGTGGTAATAAACATCTATTTACCAATGCTTTGACAATTGTTCCTCTTTTTAGCAGATAGTCACTGATTGTGCATCCTCTGATCATGCAATGCTAACACTACCTACTTGTCTTTGCATGACTTCTTCTCTGGCGACAGAGCTCCCCAGATGTTTTAATCCCCAAACATCGTAGCAGTGATCTTGAAGCCATTTCAAGGGTCATCCAGGAGGCTCGCCAATTCATATATATCTCCATCATAGATTACCTGCCCCTCCTCAGCCGCAACACTCAAAGGTAAGAACCACTTTTAAATTTCTTTGGATGGGCTCTTATCATTAAAACATGCTATGCTTTGCTTTGTTTCAAGTGATTTAAACTCTTTGTTTGTTCCTGTGCCAAGTTACTGGTCTCGTATCGACGCTCTTATCCGGGAGGCTCTGATCCTGAGGAAGGTCCGGGTTCGTCTGCTGATAAGTTGCTGGGAAAAGACTCAACCACTTAGCTTTAACTTCCTCTGGTCCTTGAGGAGTCTGTGCATGGACCAGGCCAACTGCTCAATGGAAGTTGTAAGTACAAGCCAACATCGTATTTTCAACTCTACAGATATGCTTTATCGATGCTAACTGCACAACTGTCCATGTGTGTCTGTGTGTGCAGAAGTTCTTCAACCCCAGAGTGCAGAGCGATGGCAGTCTCCAGGGAATAAACCACAACAGGTTTATGGTGACAGATAGAGCCATTTATTTAGGTGAGCTCATCGACGACTCAACTTTATGACTCTGTCCTACATGCTTCTGCTCACCTCAAGCACACAGCAAATGTGTTTTTTCCAGCTTGTTGAGGTTATGCATTGATCTCGAGTGGTTAGGAAAGCCCATCTGTCAGGGTTAAGGACCTGAACAAACCGAGGTCTGTATCTTGCAAAATATAGACGCATCAATAATCTAGTGCTTGAATGTTTAGCATGGTGGATCTTGCAAAGAAAAAAACGAGATTCATCATATTGCCCCATTCCAGCTAATCACCTCCTGGTTCCAGCTCTGTACTTAACACACAAACATGAAAGAGAGGTTCACTTTCACATAATCTCAACCGTCTAACTCAAAAAGAAAGAAAAGTATTTCACTAAAAGGCCAATGATGACTATAAAAGTCTATCTTCAATGGTAGTATATTTTCATTTATCCAATGGCACTACATGACAATGTTTAAAAAACCTAATTCAGGTCATCTTGGTATGTTTTTTTTGCCTTATTTGTTGTACTACAAGGTGTTTTTGATACTGCAGCAACTGATATGTTTCTTGCTTGGTGTCCTGACAGGTAACCTTGACTGGTTGGGGAATGAGTTTACCTTTAACACTGGAGTAGGCCTGGTGATCAGTCAGCCAGAGGGCATCGAGGAGAGGAACTCTACAGTGGTGGAGCAGCTACGGGCTGCATTCGAGAGGGACTGGTTTTCTCGTTACACCCACTCACTGCAGGCCAACAAGACGAACGTCTGCAGCAAACAGCAGATCAACAGGCTCGTGCCGGACAAACCTGGCCACCTGGACAATGCACCAATGCCTATCAGCGTAGACCCGCATGATAACGGACCTGCACCAATTAGACACAAACACCAAGATGATGGACAGGCCCATGTTAAAACAAAGCACCATGACGACAGACTTAGCAAAATTGTTCTGCAAGGCAAGGCCGATGGGCTGGAGCCAATTATAGACAGTTACCAAGAGAGGGGACAAGTCAAAATGAGCCATGACCTTGACAGCAGACAGGTTCAAATCAAAGGTAATCACCGAGACAATCCAATGGATCCGCCCAGTCAGTCAGCTGAGAGCAGCGGCAGCAGAGAGATCTTAAACGGGTCGCTGTGACCGAGGAGCTTAATGAGAACTACTCTCTTCCAGGTACAATGGACTGGATCTTTGTAGCAATTTGTTGTTGCCATTTTGAAAAACGTTGAAGATATTTAAGTGATATTTGGTTTGAAGGACTTGGTCATGTTCATGAAAGAACTCAGGAAGGAAAGTATATGCTCTGATGCAGTCTGGCACTTTTGACAGATTTTTTTAAGAATGAAACCAAAACATTTTGGTTGAGAAGAAACACTGGATAATACAGATATATAAACGTACAACTTTGCTACTTATTTAATCTTACTCCTCTCCTTGTTGAGATCTCTCAAGCCAAGGAAACAGATTGAATCTTTTTGATTGCCTAATTATTATATGTCACTTTAGATGTTTGTGGCAGTCATTATTTATCACCCTTTAAAAGGGGAAAAGACGCCTGCATGAATATGCAGAGATTGGAAGCAGTCTAGCTACAATAGCTACATTGAGCATTTAGGAACACTCCAAAGTCATGGAAGATTTACTACACACCTTCACATGTTGTGTATCTTTTATCGCCTCTTAATTCTGTTTGTGTAGCTCCAGCAGTATTCTGAATAAGTTGCTGTGCATTTAAATTGTTACTTATAAAACTGATAACCTATTTATAAGTTATTCGAACAAAGCAACCTGAAACCATCTGTTCAGTAATGGATTCAGATGCTCTAATGTCAAATTATATTCATACAAAACAACCCTGTGTGTATATGTTAACACAGATCCCAGTCATATTTTATATTTAATTTGTCGCACTAACTTTCTGATTTGAATCCCATTTATTCCTGGAATTAGCCCATTACTCATTTTGAGTTCTGACCCAGAGTTAAGAAGCTGGGGCTCTAAAGGAATTGATCACATCAGGACCACCATGATTTATCCTCAATACCAGAAGCACTAAAACACTGTAGACAGCTGGTTTAACCCAAGACTTGAGGCGCCGTATATCTCTGAATAGCAGGTTGGTGTACAAGAAAAATGTTTTATTTTAAGGGCGGTAATATTGAATTGGATGATGCACATGTTCTACTCCACAACACCAAATATAATAAGGTGTGTATTTTCAATCAGACGCTGCCAGTGAAAAATGACTGCCTTCATTGGTTTTTGTGAAAGGCAGATGTTTTCCCCAGGAGGAAGAGGAGCTATAGATCTGAATGGCTTCTTATAATCATTTAAGTTACCAAATATAAATCCTAGGAAAAGAAGATCGAATGGGTATCTATAGTATTCTGCCGAATGCAATGTGATTTATTGAACAAATACTAAAGGAGCAGGTAGAAGAAGGGCCAGAGGGTCTCTGCTGTGCAATCAATAAAATGCATTTTGAACAGAGCCTGACAGTTGCAGTTGCTGCAATTTAATTTCAAGGACACTGTTACTTGTCTCCTCTGACTGATGTATTATTACCTTTACCGTGTGGAGGTAAAGGAAACACTTCATGAAAGAACACTTTTCAATGAAAGCTGGTAGAAGCTTTTATTTGCATTTTTTAAATGTCTAATACCTTTACACACTCTTTATGGCACTTTTTGCAACAATGCTTTAGATTTTGTGTTGCTAGAACATTCTTTTACTTCCAAAGCCATTAGTCAAGGAAACATTTCCAGAAAGATTGTGATGTTTGATGAGAAATATGCTGAACCTGATGCTCAGAGCTTTAACGTGAAAGCATGAGGTGAAATGAGTGTGTCTTTTGAAATAACTTAGCAGGAATAACTGTATACTTTTAAGGAAACATGTTAATTTCCAGGTTCACATTATATTTTCAGTTCCTAAATGAGCCAAATCTGAATAGCTTGTTGAATCCCATGTTTTTAAGCTTGTAATTACTCCAGATACCCAAATGTATGTGCACAAGAACTGCACACGTGAGGCTTTTATGTTATGTCCCCTTTAATTCCGCCACAAAACTGAAGTTTTTACAACAGAATGCATAAAAGGTTTGGCTGTAAGAATTATATATTGCACCATTGTTGTTGGATATCAGAAAACACATCAATAGACTATTTAAATCCGATCATGATGGATCACTTCTGCCATCTAGAGGCTGTCTTGAGAAAAACATTTCTTACTTTCTTAACCAAAGTATTTTTAACAACTGCTGTCTATATGCCACTTCTTATGAAGCGTATAAACGGCAGCAGAGGTTTTTCCTGCTAATTTTTGAACAATAATGATGTTGATAGCTACCATTTATTGGTTTGAGGTTATCAGAAGATCTTTTTTTAAAACACACATATTGTAGTTTGGAAGTAAATGTATTGCTAATGTAGCCTGATCAAAAATTATTTAATGAATGCAATAGGTACATGTTAAACGATAACATGCATAAAACAAAACACAACTTCCCATGCCTCTGTGTTTGCACGTTTTCTCTTTCTATATTCATTCATTAACTGTTTCATGACTCTTATATGAACCAAGCACTATTATATGTTTCATTTGTAGAACAGCTTCTCCATATCGAGTGAGTAGAGCTTAATGAGTATTATCTCAATAACAACATATTGTCTTGCAAAGCATTACATCAACACGCAACATTGACAGCTGGTCTGGAGTCAGATTCAGTTTACGCTGCTATTATAGTATTGTTGCACAGGGGGCAGGAATGCTGCTAATTCACACTGTACACCCGCTTTTAGTTTACATTTTATTTTCAAACTATTTTGATCATTAAAACAGTGAATATTTTCCAACTGTTTACAATCTGCTACGGCTACAAAAATAATAGGAAGGTTTCCGTAACACACTTTTAAAAAACTGAGCAATATTTGCTGAATACTTTGTGAAATATACAGGATAGATGGATGAATATTCTGGATGGGTTTTAAGGTAGCTGCCACGTGTTACAGACTGACATACTAACTGTCTGGGCCAATTTAAATGTTCACTGTTAAAGCTTTGTCGCCTACCTTTATTCTATTGACTTGTTTCGGCATGACTGCTGCTTGCATGCCCTGCCTTTATGAACTGTGCACAGAAGCTATGAGTCTTTTTAGAGATAACAATGATCATAATGAAAGCATATATACCTTTAAAAAAAAAAAACAACAGAAGGAATGTATATTTATTAAACACTCTTGATAATGGAAACTACTGAATTATATGATCGCTATGTTTTTACTCTTAATAAAAAATATATATACTCTAAGCTTTTTATGTGTGGGTGTGTTTGTGCTTAGTGTAAGTGATGTGTGTTTCCTTAACACTAAGGCTGTTAATTAAAGCAGGATGGCTTACCTCAGAAGTTAATCCTTACCGTATTGTGGCTGTCAGTCAGGCCTGTGTAACCCTAATGGACTGTTCCCTTAACCCAACTTACTGAAAGGTAAAAGTGGCACAGACATTTTAAATGCTGTATTTCAATCCACACATACAAATCAAGATACAAACACAAGGCAACATGTTGCTGTATCAAATGGTTATATGTTTTTGTAAAAATGTGATCTGTAACTCATCCTCAGTGCATCCAAATGACACCTGGTTTGTTTGTTTTTATGGAACAAATTCAATGTTCAACCATTTCAGACATACAAGTTCAACATAGTGAATTTAAATAACATAAAATATATATTTTTTAAACACGATGATAATTGAAACAATTTATAACATAATACCTGGATAAATAAACTCCATAAACATAAACTTGTAGGAAAAGTATGCATTATTTTTTCAATATTTTCATAATATTTCTTCATAGTATAACGATATTGTTCATTTTTTAGTAAATATAAGTGCAGAGGTGGAAGAAGTACTGAGACCGTGTACTTAAGGTCAATTCTTAGTACTCATTATGCAGATTGGCCCTTTCCAGAACAATATATTTGATGTTTTAATTATAATTTCTTGTTGCATTTCAGTGGTATCAGAGCTTGTAAAGGTGCAGTTAAATTAAATTACTTTGTTCACTTCAGGGTAGATTTTGAATGTTGCAGGCGTAACTAACGTGTTGACTATATTTTACATTATTAATCAAAATCTGCAAAGTAAGAAAAGGTGGAGTGGAGTAAAAGTACACCATTTACCTATTGTAGTAGGGTAGAAGTATAGAATATTAAAACATTGAAATAATAATTAATAATAATTAGTTAAGTACAAATTCCTCAAAATTGTAATTGAGTAAATGTTTCAAATATTTGTATTGAGAAGAAGCATACAGTTGTAAGCAATAGTACAGCCTTCTTTGGGGTGGCAATCATGCTTCCATTTTTCAACATAGAAGACAAACAGAACAGCCAACAAGGAATAATTAAGAAAAGAACATAACATGACAGGGATACCATACTTAATGACATACAAAGTCATAGTGGGAAAGAACATACAAAATAGTAGCCTTTATATAATACAAATAAATAAACTTAAAGGATGTACTTTAGTAAATGTACTTAGTTACTCAACACCACTGTAAGTGTTTAATGTTAGTGTCACACACTTATACGTGTCTGGGCTTGAGCACCAACGGACTGACGTAACGGTTACCTTAGCAACCGATTAAGCGTCACCAGTCCGGGCTTCAAATTCATGAGTGCGCTTTTCTTCCCGGAGACCGTCCCGTCGAGAGAGAAGGCAAAACAGCCCCTGCGACGCTCAGAGGAGACTCCTTCATGAAGAACAATACACCAGATGTCTTTTTCCACCATTTCGGGTTGTGTTTCTTCGTGCTGTAGCGGAGCGGGACGCGCAGGACTGACGAACATCACCGGGCTGGTGTTGTTGTTTTTACCGAGCAGCAGCCACCATGGCTGAGGAAGAAAGTGAGTGGATTTTGGAGAGCATCGTTGGCTACCTGGGGAGTCCCGAGTGGGTCATTCCTGTCTCGGACTTTATGGAAAACAAATGCACAGGTAAGGTATTAAAAAAAACAGCAATTTGTAGACTTCTGGCTACCTCTTTGGAGATGTGTGGAACGTTAGCGCGGTGGCTAAGCTAAGGCTAACAATGTTTTGTTGACATTTTGTCAGGCTATGATACTTTGTACCGTTCACTAACTTTACACTTTTCTTAATAAACGTTTTTTGTGCAAGTTAATCAGACTTTAATAACAGAAAGTCAATATGAAGCCACAAAGGACACAATTAGAGAATCATAACAGAAAAAGTAGTTAACTAGCTTGCAAAGTAGAAACCTCAGCTATCAAAAAGGTCATATATACTGAGATGAGAGAAGTACTTAGATCTTCTACTCAAGTACAAGTAGAAGTAACAGAGTGTAGGAATACTAACAAGTAAAAGTCCTGAAATTGAAATGTTACTCAAGTAAGAGCACAAAAGTATTGGCCTTTAAAATATACTTAAAGTACCAAAAGTAAAAGTACTAATTTTACAGATCCATTTCAGAACAATATATATTATATGTTTTGGTTATACTTATTGACGCATTAATGTGTATTAAAGATGGTAAAGGTGCAGCTAATTTAAATGAATGAAAATGGTAGTTAAGAACTTGAGTACATCTATTTAGTTACTTTACAACACTGCATATATACCAACTTGTCTTATTTATTGTAATGTATTCTCTGGACAGAATATTGATGTTGAATTTATATCGTTTGTGTTTTTAATTTGGCCATTTCTTAGTGTTTGATGACGAAGATGAGAATAAGTTATCATACACAGACATCCACCTGCAGTATAAGAAATTGGTGAGTACAGTCCTTGGCCCAGTTGTGTCAAATTACCTCATCAAAAATAACTTGTTAGTGGTTTTCTCTTGCTGACTCATTAAACTGGACTCATGTAAGCTGCTTTGTTTTGTAGGTGGAGACGCTGCTGGGGAATTACATGCAGGAGGTTGGCATCAACGAGCAGCAGTTTCTGGACGCATGCACCTCTCCTTTTGCCAAGACCAAAACCCTGCAGGTACTTTAAGCTCCCTGTTGGCACCCAGTCTGTGGTGGCACACCCTGTCAGCCTGCCAGTGAACCTGATGGGAGGGAATGGGCTTTGCCTTACATAACCACGGGTGTCCTGCTTATACCTGAAGCCATACATAATACTGATAATGTAATTTACTTTTACCCATAGGAAAACAATGGTGTCATTGTTATTTTCTAATAATTTACACACACACACACACACACACACACACACACACACACACACACACACACACACACACACACACACACACACACACACACACACACACACACACACACACACACACACACACACACACACTAATGTTGCTGCAACAAAGTGTCCAACAATACTTTTTTTTCCACAACTCTAACTAAAACCTTACATGACATGTTCATGATGATGCTCCTTTAATATTTACATTATATTTTATTCAAATTTTGCAGCACTATGTGGCCTATCAACTATCTATATATTCAGTACTCCTTATGGCTGACTATCGACAACTGTTTGGGCGAAATTGACCTTGGCCTACTTTCATTTGAAGGTGTAATTATAACGGAAGATACTTTTATCTATAGCCAAAATGAGCTCCTGCTAGGTTTACATAGTTTTATGATGGTATATGTTTTTTCGAGGATTCATACACACCACTGCAACCCTTTTGTTTAGTCAGTTGGAAAAATAACAGCTCCTCAGTTATTCATGTAAGGTTTGTTGTTAATTAACTTACAGTTTCGCAAAGTTGTAACTGTTCACCCAAAACAGGTTAAGCTAAATGGCCAACTAACATGATGTTTTAAAATGTGTTTTTGCACTTAAATAGCCATTTTAATATTGTACTTATATTAGTTTCAGATTGGCAGAGATCGGTACTTTATCATAATCCTCAGTAAAACTAGATATCATTCATTTCCACTAAATTAATACAAACCAGGTTAGAGTCTCCCAAAACAGAGATTATCTTTACCAGAAGTTATACATTGAGCAGTCTCATGCAGTCATACCAACAGTAGTAAGTAGAAACAGCTTGTACTGTAGGTTTGGGATTCAGAACGTGGAGACCTGTTAACTAGCAACTCTGAACTTGTATTTAATGTTGTTTGGAAACATTTGCCTAGCATTAGCCTACATGGTGGACAGACCCTTGAATAAAGACAGGAAGCTTGTGTGATAGATTAGGCCTAAGTACTATTCTGTTTGCAAACATAGCTTGCTTAGTCAAAAGTATCCCATGCTGAAAGAACTGAACATCCTGTACTGATCCACAGGGGTTAACAGGCAATGATAATCTCATAGGAACATTGACAATTCATGATTTTAGTTTTTTATAGTACAGGCTTTATCGGTGGAAAAAATCAAGCACATTTGGTCCCAGCACTGTCGCTAAAAAATAAACCACAATGGAGAATGTGTTTTATGTATAGCCAGTCAGCAATAGCATTTTTTTCAAATGTGTCAATATCTCGATGTATTTGCTGTAAAGCGTTTTTTACCTCTCTTGACCTGAGAGTAGCTATGCAAGAGGAGGTTAGCCTTCATGATACTTTTTATACCAGCTAGCTAGCTAGTGGTCATGCCATTTATACTTCGTTGTCTTTTTGCGACAGTTATTTCTCATGGTCTTCTATGTGTATTTTATTTGTTGTACAGTCGGTGTTCCAGCCAGTTCTTGCTACAGATGACTTCCAGATGTTTCGCTCACTGATGGTCCAGAAGAACACGGAGCTGCAGCTTCAAGCCCTCAGTGTCATCAAAGAAATGAACGGTAGGCTGGATTAACACACACTCTCAGACAGGAAATCACTCCCGATGAAGCCCCCCTAACATGCCTGCTGTGTGTAGGGGCCCTCCCAGAGTGTCTGACCGACGGAGTGGACGTGATGACGGAGCTGCAGGATCAGGAGATGAAAATCCTGCAGGAGGTTCTCAAGTAAGTCACATATTATTATGTTCTCTTCTACTCTCTCTCTCACTCTTATCTTTCTTCTTCTCCCTCTCCCCCCTTTAGCATTATCATATTTTAAGTTCTTGCAGTGGCTAAGAGTTTCATTTCAGGAAAACACAAACAACTGTAAATCTAGAAACTAGGATTTGAATGTATTGGCTGTCCTGACCTCAATGATGGACAAAGTTAGCATGCATGAACGATAGATTCAAAGGTAGAATCAAACATTTATTATTATCCTTATTATAATATGTAAAAGTATGTTTTTAAATGAGTGTTGTGTGAATGAGCTCTTCATATCTACATATAGAGGAGATGTGGGAGTCTGCCATGTTGGACCTTTAAGTGTCTACAGTCAACCTAGATACAGGCTTTTGGCAGGGCTTTTCGTGTTTTTAAATGACCTGAAAGCCACCTCTTTTTCTGAAAAACAAATCCTACATACTGTCCCTTTTTATTTCTGAAATAAAGCACAAAAATCATTCTTATGTAAAAAGTGTAATGAAATGTAGTTTAATGTATCAAGGCTGAAATACCACAATAAATGCATTCTGAAAAACCTCTCACACTAAGTATACTTAGATATATACTTATCTAATCAATTTTGTACTTTTTTATTACTTAATTAGGTGTGAGTTTTTCCTTATTATGCTGTTCTAATATTTCCACATTTTCCTTATGCCTCCACTGTCCGTGTGCCGGGTGTCAGAAGCCGCTGCCCTGCTCTCTAATGGGATTTTGCTCGTGGCCGCGGGGCCAAGTAGAACACTGAGTCTAATGGGACCGCGGTTAAGCTCCTTAGGGTGCAGCTAAATTAGGGTGGAGAGATTGACACTAAACAACCAACTGAGATTATTAGTATTTTTATCCTCATTGTTTTACGAGGATACCTTGGTTGCTGATCAGAGCTGCATCATTCTGCATTCCCCCGTTGATTTTAGTTTGATTTTAAAATAAAGTGGGAGGCCCTTTGGGAAACTCCAAGATACTAAATGTCACCGTTTTGGCCCTTTGTGTGAAAACTTAATGCGCTGGAAGAATATTCTAATATAACAATCAGCCTACCAAACAATTTAAGACAAATGATGCAATATACTGCATTTACACATATGGCTAGTTAAGTCATTGTGTGCATCTGTACAAATACATCAAACCACTATATTGCATGATTTTGCTTTTACCTGTAATTTAATTTAGCTATCAGTGTCATAAAGCTTTTCTTGTGAATATCAACTAATAGACCAAATCCTTTCCTTCTTGTACATCTCTTTCTATATGCTAACACACTGGATAATGCTTTGAGAAAGTCTCCTCTAAGGCAAATTAAGTTGTTAAATTAATCAAATTAAAGGATCAGTGTAGTGCCAGGGCAAAGTGTCTTTTTCTAGTTAATTTGTGCTATTAGCCAAGGATTAAATGTATAATAGATCTTTAACTTTATATAAACTAATCTCTTATCACACATGGGCTACTAATCACACTTGGCTTAAGTAGGCTAGGCCAAATGCTCCACCTCTCCATCTTAAGGAGAGTGAAACATCATATGAGCCATCAGATTTGGATCTGCTCCAAAAATGTAATCGATGTATCCTTGGCCCATGGACCTGTAGTTCTTCAGTTATCCTGCTGACAAACAAACTTAACCCAAAACATAATTGGTGTAGGGAATAATTATTTCTGCACAAGCAAAAATTCAGACAATGTGCCCTGCATCAATTCTAAAATGTGTATTTATCTTCTGCTACTTTGTCCTCAGGAAGTCAAAAGATGAGTATGATAAGGAAATGTCCAGGAGGCTGCTTTTAGAGCACAAGGTTGGCAGCAGCTCTGATAAGCGATTGGCAGAAAGCAGCGAAGCCCAAAATACCTCCTCTGCTGCCAGCCAACCGAGCGGCGCTGCCAAGGTGAGACACCATGAGCCTGAACGAGCCAAATGAGACGTGCAAACCTGCACCAAACCACTTCTTAACTTTTTTTTCCTATCAATTCAGACTTTTACCGTTCAAAAACTGATGCTACCAATGATACATAGTTATTTCCAACATCCCTTTCCCGTTACAGTCCACTCCTTTCTTTAAAATAATGTCTCCAATGTGTCATTATTCCATGCTAAGGCCAAAGCGGAGGGGAGAGGTGACAGCAGCCAGAGTAACGGTCACCATGCCCCCCCACTAGTGAACGGAAACACAGTCCCTGAGGCTAATCTGGTAACTGAACCCCAAGTAGAAGTATAGTAGCACAGTTAGTGACCTAATAATCAATCATACTGCTCTATCTGAGGATGCATTTATACCTGTATCTGTATCAGCTAACTGTATAAAAAGGGGAGGTTAATATAAAACTCAACATGTGTAAATAAGGTTCTGCATGCTCTTGTTAACAGTAAAGCATCGGTGATTGATCCAGAAATTCAAATTTAACTGTACGGTACAAAAGTATGAGCAGGAAATTCCAAGCTTAAGTATTAATGCATCCTGAGGGCAGATAGTAGCTTTCATAGCCTGCGTCAGTAGGTAGACCATAAAGAAGCTTTGTAGTTTTAGACTTAAGTTGCTTGTGTAAGGCAAGGCAAGGCAAGTTTATTTATATAGCACCTTTCAACACAAGGCAATTCAAAGTGCTTTACAAAAAATGAAAGACATTAAGAAAATGGCATTTAAAATCAGTCATTAACCCATTAATCTGTGTAGTATCAATAGATTAAAAACATTTGCTGACTGCAGGGTGAATGGGACGTGGTTCTTTAGATTCATCTTTGTAGATGAGCCCTGTGCACAGTATGATCATCGTCAGCTTCACTCCTGTGATATCTGTGAAATGGTTCCTCTGTAGTTGCAATACTGGGCTGAATCTGATTCAATGTCTGGGTCATCTGTCCAACATGTATTATTGTCTCTGATCCTTCCCTCCAGCTCAACAGCAGACCTGTCACAACAGATGAGAGACAGACGTCAGCTCGAGGAGGTGGAGAGAAGAAAAGTGCAGCCAAGAGCAGCTCCACTTCTAAACCCTCCCCAGGTAACTCAGAAGAAAATATATCAAAAGTATAGTTTTAAAAGGCCAATTCCCCCTCTGAAGGAGTACTGTGTGTACAGAAGAATGGTGTTCTATTGTTTATCTGGTCAATAAACCACATGTTTGTCTCAGAAGCTGCACATTCCCTAACTGATTGAATATGTGTGTGCAGATTGCGGCAGTAACGGTGTGGAGTCCAGAGTCCTTCCTGCAGTGAGACCTCCAGTGAAGTCTGGTGACCCCCCCCTCAGTGCAGGGTCCAGGGAGCAGAGCAGCAGCCTGACCCCCCCCGAGGGCTGGCTGGAGGAGGCTCACAGGGAGGCCGGCTTCTCCAAGCCATACACCGTGAGTCTGTCCTTCTTCCCCTTGTTTCCTTTAGCACAGCTCTGTGGGTTATATACAATATGATAATAACACAGATTTGTACACCTTACAGAATCAGAATACCTTTATTAGTCCCACAGAGGGACTGTGAAATGAAGTTATAAATTACTGACACAATTCAATTCTGTGTTACGAAGCCTTTCTTTTAGACAAAGTCACAAAATGGAATCTCACACCATGTATGATGGCACAACAATACATTGTTCCTGTTTCTACTGGATTTCTTCCCAATGAATGCCCCATAACACCTTTATTTGAAGCCCTCTTCTGGTTTCCCTCCCCCCTCAGGAGTTGTCAGCGTCTCAGCAGGAGCAGCTCCAGCAGAGGGCAGCATATCTGCGACAGCAGAGAGACAAGCTGCACGCTCTGAAAAAAGAACAGCAGAAACCCAAACAGACCATCGTACCAGAGGAGGCTCCCGCTGTCGTTACCCGGTAACTACAGCCTCTTACTGTCCCTCCTTGAACCTTAGAATGCAGCAGAATATGGCTGATGACGTGAGACTAATTAACTACTCACTATTTCCTAATATTATGGTAATGTTCTTCAGAAATCAAGTAAGGAAATGATCCATATCCATACTTTTCATTTTGGTCACATTTTTATCTTTGATTTCCCAATCTTTGTTATCTCCCATTGTAAAGCGTCCTTGGGTTTCTTGAAAGGCGCCATACAAATCTAAGTTATTATTATTATATAAATGACATTCTCGATTTCACCTGATTTTCTTTAACCCACATTTTCCCTCCTGTTCTTTCCGTTAACCCTCTGTGTGACTTGTTTATTTGGTTTGTTGTTCTTACATTTCTCTCTGCCTGTGTCTGACCTGGCTGCTTGTCAGGAGGCAGTGGGGCAGTCCCAGAGTAACGGGGTCTGTACCCCCCTACCTCCTCCTGCTCCAGCACAGCACTCTGCTCACTCCTCCAAACAGAAGGTGATCCGTCAGCTGCCCGATGTGAACACGTGTCCTCCTCGTACATGCGTAGTGTGGTGTTAGGCTCTCCCTTCTGTCTGTTGTACTGTCTCACACAAACGTACTGAAACTCCTCCATCACTCAAGCTCCTCAAAGTAATGAGAATAAGGTCTCATTGATATCGTGGATTGAGAGTCGAACCCAATGAAAATCTATTTGTATGCTTAACGTTCGAAAGCTAGCATTTTCATTTACAAACATATCCTCTTCAGATGTTTACAGCTTCATACCTATTTTGTTATTTGACACTACTTTTAAAACCCGTAGTATAGTGATATTTACAATACCAGCTGACATGTTTGCCATGGATCGTTTGTGAAAGTTTGGGGTTCCAAGGTTGAAATCAAGGCCTTGAAAGCGTGTGCTAAAACAGAAATTGAAATGTTCTCAAATTGCTAGTAAACCGGCTACGTTCCACTGTCTGCATTTATGTCTCCCGCTTTTGCATCATTGTTTCACGCACTAACTGCCCCTGAGAGTGCTACAATTAGAAAGCTTGAACCGTGTGTCAAACTGTTCCATGTTCGGTCCTTGAATTTTGAGTGAATTGTGCCTGGAAAGTTATTGAAAGTCCCTTGAATTTGACGGTAAAGTAGATGTGGTAACCCTGAGCTGCTTGTGCTTAGTTTTCTAGTTGTGTTCTTCTTACGTGTGCTTGGTGGTTTTTCACTCCCTCAACATTTTCTCATAAGCCATCTTTAATATCTGGTTTTTAACTCTAACGCCTGCTCTGCTGTCTTTACACAGGAGATATCTGCTGAGGAGAAGAAGAAACTCCAGAAGAGAAAACATCTGGCTGACAAACTGAAAGAGGAAGTCATCAAGAAATAACTTCCCCTACAACTGCAATATTCTCATGTATAGCCTATCTGATCCAATCCTTTCTAAACAAGCTTCCTCTACTCTGCCTCCTTCAGCCGCATTATTCACCTTGCATAACACAGATCAGGTTTTTACCCAAAGATACCAAAATAATCAGATCTTCCTTTTCAAAATTGTTCCATTGCTGTCTCCAGACATGTTTTTATATTGTGTATGTGTCAGTCACTAATAGGAGCGCGCACACACACGCGCACACACACGGCTTGTGTCCAAAGCGCTGCTACTTTTGCCACTAGGTGAACTATTTTAATTGTAAAGCATTTTAGCATGTCGGTTTCCTAAATGCAAGAATTATGGATTTTTTCCATGCACTCATATAACCCACAGCTCAAAATCTAACAATGCAGTAGGGCTGCTCAATTAATCGCAATTACGATTTTGGTTTGCAACGATTATGACAACATAATCGAAATAAAACGATTTTTAAAAAAAATAAAAATTCTTAAAGTTCAGGGCAATCAACTGTTAAAAACATACTGTTCAGTTTTTTTTTTCAATAAATGGGTTAGGGTTAACCCTTAGGTAAATGGATAATAGTTTTTAATAATCGTGATATCAATGATTGACCCAAATAATCGAAGTTATTATTTTTGCCATAATCGAGCAGCCCTACAATGCAGTACTTCTCTTGATAGTGTAAATGTTTTTTTATTTAACGCTACACTGGTAGGTAATGCAAAATCAAGATTCATAACTAATTTATCTAGTACCATTGAGTGAAATAGTGGGTGATTATGGACACATTCCTCAGTTGTTTCTCTAGTCAAGAAGTTCTTGAGAAAAGTTGAAACTCAACATGAGGCACAGCGGGCCTGGAGCTGTATCTCAGAATTGATGTGAAGGGGAAATAAGACATTAGCCAGCCAATGTGCAGTCTTGTCGTTAGCAGCTACATCAGAGCTGAAAACACTGTGGAAGTTGTCAAGATGAACACAGTCGTGTGATCATGAAGGGGCCAAGAGTGTGTCGCTTCCTATGAGGAATTCAGTATTTCATGTACACCGTTTAATAAATCACATTTTATAGAAACAAGCTTGAATCCAGACTTTGTGTGTATAAAAACGACTTTCAGTTGGTCGGTAGCTTTTCTCACATTAATCTTTTGATGTACTCTCTTTTACTCTGAGCCATGTAAATCTTCACGAGTACTAAATATTGTGCTTGAACAATTTTCCTCGTACAAAAACACTGTTGATTTCTTGCTGTAAGATTTTCATAAAATCCACTAAATAATTTCAATAACCTAACATTTCTGAATCAAGTTATCAATTCAAACCATCTGGACCCAAAATAAATGATTCAGAATCAATTACAAATGACTAATTGCCAGATCAGTGAATTATTAAAACAAAGCCAGATTCAAAAAGGTCAATGTCAGGGTCACATTTAATTTCAAAACTTATCAAATAAAGTCATACAAATGTTAAGAATGGATAGTGGTAGTAAATGCACTTGGTACAAATTCATCAAGGGGCAGCAACACAGTCATATTGTTGGGAGACGCTGACAGACTGCTCGGGTTCTGCTGAACTCCTGAAAGCACATTGGCAATAATAATAATTTCACTTTGTGCTCCGACCCTGCTGCTCATAGCTCAGAAGTTCTAGGTCTGTGATCTGGTGGTTTTAGCTAATATCGATTACCTTCATCTGCTTCTCAGTGTTGCTTGTGGTGAGACCAGGGGGAAATGTTTTCAACCCGACAATAAAATGTCCGAAATACTCCGCTTAAACAACACCGTTCGACTCTAAAACTGCACATCAACCATTGGGTTAAATCATTTTCATCATAACTAATAAAAAAAAAACATCTCATCTGATCATAGTTTGAATTAAAGAAATGTCCTTCGACTTGTTTTTGATGTGCAGAGTTGTTTTAGGGTCAAACCTGAAATGAAAGCCCCTTGTAGCTCATGAGAATTCTTCATTCAGTTATAATTGCAAGATGTTTCACCAGCCAGCAGAGTCACAGAGCAGGGGAGCTTTTTTTTTTGTGTCTGATGCAAATAAATCTGAACCTGAGATCTGTCAGAGAGAAGGGTGCCAAGTCTTGAACCTCCTGATACAAGAGTGTGCACTAAATCTACTCTAAGCACACCGACAGCTCAGGTTTGTCACCAAATTAAAACAAAGGCTGGGCTTTGTGTGCATCTTAATGAGGCCACTAAATTGTTAGATTCACTAAAATACAAAACCCCAGACATCTGCAAATTGATGGCTGCAAAATGACTTTACTGCAGTTTTAATACGTTTTTGTAAAACCAGCATTTTCAACTTCTCTGCATTTTACATTGAATCAAATGAACTGGACTTAAAAGGGTGAACAGTGACCCCACCTTTTGTGCAACAACACCACAAATACACAGGTCGGCAGGTATCGCTCTCCCCTTGAAAATTAGATCAGGGAAAAAGGATTAAAAAGAAAAAAATACATCTGTACAGTACTTTTTAACAAAGTCATTAAATACAGGATTTCTGGCAAACGCAGTCCTGTGTGTGAGGCGTCGTCCTGTGTGTGTTGTGTTGTGTGTGTGTGCGCCTTGGCCGAACTGACACCATGGCTTTTGTAGGTTTGAGTCTTGCTCCTGTGGATCTAAGCCTCATTACCACTGAGTTTTCACCCTGGTACATTTTGTCATGTGTGACCCCCCCCCCTACTCCCTCCTCATCTCTCAACACATCATTTTCCTTCTTTATAGACCATTTTTTTTTCCCGACCGAATTGAAGAGTTCTGTGGCAGGGCGGCACTCACGGCTCAGCCAGTCAAGCTCTATCTGACGGCTCGTCCTGCTAGCCTGACTGGCTGCTGGAAATTCATACACTGGCTTCCTCTGTCTCTGGAGCTCATTGCTTTTGGTGTTGGAGGATGGAAGGGGGGAGTTCAGATCGAGGACACGTGAGGGCTCCTGTGGGGGGGGGGGGGGGGTAGTGCCGCAGCTTCCTTGCTACTATTGCTATAGCAACAGAGCAGAGTTGGAAACCGCCTTGGCATCGATACGTCCACCGCAGGCTCTCTGGTCGGTACGTTTGGATGGAGGATGAGGAGGAGGTCAGAACAGGGGGAGCAGAAGAAGTGTGAGAGGGGGGGGGGGGGTGAGTTCAGAAAGGAGATTTGGGATCTTCTACAGGAGTAAAAAGAAGAGGTAAAATCAACAGGCTGAAGAAACAGACTGATTTGTCTTTTTCTTTTCGAGAAAATAAGTTGTCCATCCTCTTCCACGAGGGACAGAAGAGGAGCAGAGATGAGGAAGGACAGGGTGAGGTGGGAGCTCGTCTTCGCCCGACTCCTCAGCGAGACGGACAGGTGGCACAGGCAGGCCAAGGACCAATGAGACGACCAGAGGAGGAGGAGGGGAGGGACTCTGTGTCCGTCCGCTACGACCAAACAGAGGAACGTTAGCCTTAAGAGCTCAGACGGGGCCGCTTTCTTGGAGACTGCTCTTCCTCCTCCTCCTCCTCTTCTTCCTCTTCATCCTCATCATCTGGGTAGTCCACCAAACCAACCATAGCAGTCTGTAACACAGAGAAACATCAGAAAGATTGACATAAATGCCCACATAGAAAGCATAACAAAATATATATAAAATATAACGGTTTTCGGCAGTTGGCGTCTGTCAAAATGATTCCTTCTCATGCTGACACAAGGAGAGTAAATACTTCCGTTATTACCTTCACTACTGGTGTGGCAGGAAGTGCAACTGTTTTGACGGAGGAAGCTGAACTGTTGTTTGGAGTGACGGCCTGTGAGGCGGGGGGGCTTACAGCAGCTTTCCCGTTATTGTTGGCACCATTAGCTCCGTTGGCAGCTCCTGCAGAAACAGGGTGTAAATATCTAACTGCAAAGGGCTGTGGCAATCAGGAAATGATACGGAGAAAGAGACCAGGGCAGCTTACCTTTTTTGGCTTCCATGTACTTTCCGTAGCTGTCGGCGAAGTCTTCCTCCATCCGGCTCTTCTCCACAGCCTCGCTTTCATCATCATCATCGTCGTCGTTGAACAACAACTCCTCGTCCTCGTCCATCGACCGTGCATCTCTGCGATATCTACAGGGAAGTAATAACTTCATTAAGCACAAATATCTACTTTCATGCAGGGGTAGGAGTGGGACCTGGGAATACTCATTACACATAGTTCACATTCGCATCTCTAATGCCCCTTTCGCACCAAGGCTTTTCCCGTTCTAGCTCCGTGCTAGAGCTTTACTGGTTCGGAACCGGTTCTTCGGTTCAGCTCCCGCTCTGTTCACACCGCTCAGAGCCCGACTGGTGCTCAATCAATCAATGTTTATTTATATAGCCCAATATCACAAATGTTACATTTGTCTCAGTGGACTTCACAGTTTGTACAGAATATCAGTATGACAATACGACACCCTCTGTCCTTAGACCCTCACATCGTACAAGGAAAAACTTCCAGAGAAAACCCACAGTTTAAAGGGGAACATGGGAGAAACCTCAGGGAGAGCAACAGAGACGGACAGACGTGCAATAGATGCCGTGTGTAAATCGAAAAGATAATACATTTGCTGCGTCATTGTTCGCGTCATGACGTAACCATTTGCGTGCCTGCTTCATAAAGCCAAACTGCGCGGAAACCCCTCACATCGACAACAACAATGACCGATTGTATTGAAGCGCTACTCGTTTTGGTTTTGCTCTGTCGAAATGGAAGAAATGGGACGACTTTACTACCAACTTTTCAGTCGTTACATGCTACATTCAAAAGTTCTTTACAATCATCATCATCAACTTCAACGACGATTCCGTAGGAGAAAGAAGGTACGTCCTATTCGATGGCGTTAGAGCTAGCTGTTGTTAGCGTCTGCATGCGCCAAGCTCAAAATACCCAGCTTTGCAGCATTAATTACTATGGTATAACATTCAAACTGATGCCCCCGCCTCCGACGTAAGCGTGACGTATGCGGTGCTTGCTTTCTAGACCGACACCTTTTTGGCGCTTGAAACTAACCGGATTCAGGAGCTTAGAGGCGGCTCCGCTGCGGTGTGAACAGGAAAAAAACTGTGCTTTTCAAGCTCCAGCTCCGAACCGGCCCTGGAACCACGTTGGTGTGAAAGGGGTATGTGATAACGATAACTGAACCGATTTGACCTTTGCAGGGTATATGCAGGAATCCTGAAGTCAAATGTAATACCTTTTAAGACCCTTCCATACATTTTAAGACCTCATCGCCACTTCGAGTTTTAACCGGTTACATTGGCGACAGACTTTACCTCACATTTACTACAGTATTGATTGTCCTTCCTCCTTATCTTCCAACCATTTGGACGCAAACTTGCATTTCCCCATAACGATGTTGTTTAACAACCGGCGTAAACGGCCCTTCGCGCTATTAAGCAGTGAGCGTGCGATGTCCTGTTCAGATGACGTCAAATCCAACGGGATGCCATAAAGAAACTACACAGAATCACACTACTCTCCTACGCAATGATTACATTCAGGCACACTGTAGAATACAACCTCTTTGGACAATTGATATACTTATTGAAAACAAGCTACAAAATGTAATACCTTGGAAAATGCCGTTTAATACTTTTTAATAGCCTTAATTTTCACTAAATTGATTTATCAACTTTGAATACTTTTAAGACCCCGCGGACACCCTGCTTTGTGTCCCATCTGTCTACTGACCTGTTGAGTCTCTGACTCTGTCGGTCTTTTTCCTGCTCGTATCGGCCCTTCAGGCCCTTGAAAGTCTGGACGTACTCGATGGATTCAAGTGCTTTGTAGAAGTTATCCACAATGTGAGCGATGAGAGACTTAACGTCCTCCTGGAAAAAGAAGAAATCACAAGACATCCACCATTAGTGCCTCAAGCGCACATACCCTTCACTAATACACATTTTGATTAAGTTTAGTATGTGCCCACCACTTTAATGAACTCAAAGAGCTCTATGGTGGCGGAGTTGAGGAGGTTGTATCGGGTGCCGTTGTCCAGCAGGGCGTTAATGACGGGCTCAAACAGGTTCCCTTTGATGATATAGCGGTTGTAGTACTCATCCTTCAGGCCAATGATCCTGCGCATGAAACGAAGGGCACCTGGGACAAAAAACAGACAACTTAGTAAAAAATGAAGCATGAATGAGTGATTTGTAACTAAATATACAAAGTGGGATAGCAATGGATCGACAAAGCAGCAGGAAGTTATGTGCATGTGCGTGTACTTACAAAGAGCGAGGAAGGTGTGTTTTGAGTTCATTAGCACCAGCACTCTCCTGAGCAGGTCTTTGTTCATGATGTAGGTCTTGATGTGGTAGGTGTGGTGCTCCACACAGAAGGTCAGCAGCTCTAGGATCAGTGCCAGCAGCTGAGCCGTCTGGAAGTTATCTACACAAAATAAAACAAAGCAAATAAGCAAGGCAAATTGTCTTTTTGTATTCAATTGTGTGGATTTCTAGATTATACATAATTATAAGCAAGGCAAGTTTATTTATATAGCACCATTCAACAGAAGGCAATTCAAAGCGCTTTACAAAAATGAAAGACATTAAGAGCATTAAGAAACATTATAAGATTATATCTAAAAACACTCATTTAAAAGCTAAGATAAAACTTACAGTGCAGTTTAAGATATGAATATATCAATTAAAAGCAAAAACAAAAGTCTTCAGCCTGGATTTAAAAGTAGATCCGTTTAACCAAATAAAAACACTATTAATAGTTATTTGCAGCTCTCGGACTGTTTACATGACGCAGTGTTGTAGTCAAGTCACCAATTCACGAGTCCAATTCACGAGTCCAAGTCACTCTCGAGCCACCACTCTTCAAGTCCGAGTCACCCAGGGAGAGTCGTAGTTGAGTCCTAGTCCAAGTCACCCAAGGAGTGTCCGAGTCGAGTCCGAGTCATCATTACCTGTGTTCGAGTCCAAGTCCGAGTCAACCAAGGAGTGTCCGTGTCGAGTCCGAGTCATCATTACCTGTGTTCGAGTCCGAGTCCAAGTCACCCAAGGAGTGTCCGAGTCAAGTCCGAGTCATCATTACCTGTGTTCGAGTCCGAGTCACCCAAGGAGTGTCCGAGTCGAGTCATCATTACCTGTGTTCGAGTCCAAGTCCGAGTCAACCAAGGAGTGTCCGTGTCGAGTCCGAGTCATCATTACCTGTGTTCGAGTCCGAGTCCAAGTCACCCAAGGAGTGTCCGAGTCAAGTCCGAGTCATCATTACCTGTGTTCGAGTCCGAGTCACCCAAGGAGTGTCCGAGTCGAGTCCGAGTCATCATTACCTGTGTTCGAGTCCGAGTCACCCAAGGAGTGTCCGAGTCGAGTCATCATTACCTGTGTTCGAGTCCGAGTCACCCAAGGAGTGTCCGAGTCGAGTCATCATTACCTGTGTTCGAGTCCAAGTCACCCAAGGAGTGTTCGAGTCATCATTACCTGTGTTCGAGTCAGAGTCCGAGTCACCCAAGGAGTGTCCGAGTCGAGTCCGAGTCCAAGTCACCCAAGGAGTGTCCGAGTCGAGTCATCATTACCTGTGTTCGAGTCCGAGTCACCCAAGGAGTGTCCGAGTCGAGTCCGAGTCATCATTACCTGTGTTCGAGTCAGAGTCCAAGTCACCCAAGGAGTGTCCGAGTCAAGTCCGAGTCATCATTACCTGTGTTCGAGTCCAAGTCACCCAAGGAGTGTCCGAGTCAAGTCTGAGTCATCATTACCTGTGTTCAAGTCCGAGTCACCCAAGGAGTGTCCGAGTCGAGTCCGAGTCATCATTACCTGTGTTCGAGTCCAAGTCCGAGTCACCTAAGAAGAGTCCAAGTCAAGTCCGAGTCACAAGTCTTCATGTATTAATCTTCGTGGATATATATGTTGAAACGTAGCTGCTCCTCTACATTGCTTTTATCCTGTCATGTTATACTAATCTGTCTATTGAACTGCTGTAAAGCGAGTTTGGCTACAATTATTGTAATAGGCGCTATACAAATACAAAGCTTATTACTAATATTATTATTACTATTGTAAATTACCTTTAATATGTCTAACTATATTTAAAATGAGTTACCTTTTACAGAAGTGATTATATTTGTATGCCAATATTTTCCTATGGTAAAGTTTTCGTTTTGCACTTTTATTTTTGATAGTAATAAGATCGGGACTCTTATTTTGAAGGAACTTTTACTGGTTAAATCGGTTTACTGATAAAGATTGAGCCCCAGAAAGCACATGGCTACTTAGCATGCAAAATGACTCATTCTGCATGTTAAGTAGCCATGTGCTTTCGTGTTATGGCTGAATCTTTATTTATTGATTAGATCATGTTACTCTGATGATAGTGTTCAACACAGCCTATATGTCTGAACTCGATCCTTAGAGTAATGTGTTACGGAGCCTTCTCTTCAATATTGTTTACACATAACGAGCATTTTGCGCTGCTCTTTTCCAATGTGGAAGCAGAATGTGTGAAAGCATACAGCACGATGCGGGGTGTGTCTCTAGACATCTTTAGACTGGAATAGCAGGGCCCAGTACGTGAACTCGCCTCGCAGGTGCACATGCCAGGATAGAGGACATCAGAGTCCAGAGAAAACTTGCTCGAGTCCAAGTCGGAGCGTCAATGTACAAGTCGAGTCCGAGTCATCGTGGGGGGAAAAATTCACGAGTCCAAGTCCAAGTCAGCGTACGCGAGAATTCACGAGTCCGAGTCCAAGTCAGCGTACGCGAGAATTCACGAGTCCGAGTCCAAGTCAGCGTACGCGAGAATTCACGAGTCCGAGTCCAAGTCATCGTGCGCGAGAATTCACGAGTCCAAGTCCGAGTTGCGTCAATCAGTGCGTGAGTCCGAGTCGAGTCACGGGTCCTGAAAATCGGCACTCCAGTAATAAATAACAGCTTTAGTTTTAAGTTATTATGAAGAGGTCAATTATTAAATTGTAATCTAGTGGGTACAGGTCAAAGAAATGCAATGGTATAGTTCCCAGTTAACTGACATGCTTTGTCTGTTGGGTGGTTCTCTGTTGCGTTAAATTCCTCACCTGGACAGACCGGGTTGATCTTAGTTGATCCCTCCTGCAGATCTGAAAAGGCAACGACACAGAACAACCAATCACATTCTCTGTTTATCTTACAGTCTGAAACATTTCAGTTTATGCGAGGCCTCTGTCCCCAGCTCACCTTTTGAGATTTTGTCATGTGCCGTGTTGGCCAGCAGAGGAGCAGTGAGGACGTGCATGCAGTACTTGTAGAAGAAACTCAGAAACTCTGTCTTCTCCGTTTTCTAAAAGAAAAATGAAGAAGCTTTAATAAAGTGCTGTGAATGTTTTACCGTTGAAGGAAGGCTATGTAATTCACCAGCTGGCTACATATGATATAGATAAGATCCCTGCAATGCACACAACATTTTATAGCCGTTCCATTGACATTCCTGCGTGCTGGTCCTGCTTACATTGGTGGAAGCGAGCATGTTCTCGGGGTCGATTAGCGTCCTGAGCAGACCCATGAGCTGGACAGCCCCCCCCAACTCTGGGTCGGAGTCACAAATCATCTGCTTGATCACCACATTTATCAGCAGGACATCCTGTACACCAAGGAAACACACAGAAAAATATAAAGTTAAGACATATTCTGATTTTAAGAGATCTACTTTTTAAGAAACTTTGTGGATTCCCTAAACTATTCAAGGTGAACAACTTTAAAAGGTCTCCTATTATACTGTTTTTCATCAATATATTATAGGTCTCAGATATATACAAAACATGTCTCTGATTGGCTGAAACACCAAACAGATCATTGCAGCATCCCATAATCCCCTCTGTTTCAAAAGTGCTGATTCTCTGTCTGTTACTTTAGATAAAAATAAGGAGCCCCTCCCCACGCCCCTCTGAGAGATATTTGGTTAAAAAGAACACAATGGTGCTCTAGGAGGAGATTCAGATGATAAGGTGGGGGAGGTTACCGTGGTTGGTGATTGGCTAATGGTTACACAAGCCAAAAACATCGTTATGACCAGGGGTGCACATCACTTTTTTGCCCTGGTTCTCAAAGGAGCACCTGGAGATGTTGCTTGGTGCTCATCCTTAAAATGAAATAAACCGTAACTTTTGAGGGGGTCTTGACTTTATTTGCCAGACACACGGCACTGAACACACATGCAGAGGTGAACACAGAACACACATGCAGAGGTGAACACAAGACAACATTAGCACGACCAGTAATCCTACAAGCTGTCATCACTCCCTCCTGACTGTTCTCCTCACTGTCTTCCTCTCTGTCAGACATGGTAGCTGATGATGTAGGCCTACTACTTTCTCTCTGGTTGAGTCTGTGATTAGCTGCTTGCATCCACAAGTCAACAGCTGGTTTTGGGTCGAAAGTCTCTGTTGTCATCTTAGAAAAGTGGATGTAATCAAATAAGTATGTGAACATAACCAATAGCCTACCATAGCCAATAACAATTTAATGTAACTTATTTTATTTATGTTGTTCATTCATATCTTATTTTACCTTAACATTTATTTATGTATGCATATTTTTGTATCTCTCCAGTTTTAAAGGATATTTTTGTTTACTGTCCTATAGTATACATTGGAATGATTTCAAACCTGTTTATCCCAATAATTATAAAGGAGTGCCTTGGAAATATGTGTTTACATAAATTGTGACCAAACCGTTTGAACTTAGACTAAGAGTCCTTTACGTCACTGAGCTGTAGTTAACTTATCAGCCTCTCAGTCTGACTGGAGAGGACTCTCCCTCCACATCATTGTAGAAACATCTTCTTCTTCCGTTAGAGCAGCTAGCACCAGATGCTAATAACAACAGCGCCGGAACCGGTGCACCCTCCCTCTCTCCCACGCTCACTCGCATTTTGGCTGTGAGCTGCGGGCGCCAGATAAGCCAACATCCCCCATTTTCATCACTTACAGCGCCCATCGTACAGGGCAAATGCAACGTGTAACCGGGGTGAAAAGGGTGTTACATTTACTTAATTGTGAATATTGTTACATCAAGGCCGAAAATTAGGATGAGCCCCAACGGTCAAAAATGTTTTTTTCCCTCCCAGAGCTGCCAGCGCAGCGCCTCCACAGATCTGGCGCCCTAGGCGAACATCTATTACGCCAGTGCTACGGGCCGGCCCTGAGTTCATATCATAGGTTCATATGCAACTCGCAAATATATTTCTCTCTCTCTCTCTTCTCTTTTCTCTCTTCTCTCTTCTCCCTTCTCTCTCTCTCTCAATGTTGGTACGCAAATGCGCCTTTTTTCAAATGACACGGTGCTCTTTTTTTGGCGGAGGTGCGCATGCGCACCAGTTATGTGCAGCCCTGGTTATGACATCATAAAGTGGCCAAAATCTGATCAGCTCATTTTCAGACAGGTTTTTATATAAATGGATCAGGAATCTTTTTTCCTGAAACCTTGAGAATCTCTTTACACATGGTTATGGACACAAGACAGGAAAAGTGGATTTTGCACAATATGTGACCTTTACTGTATTTACATTAGAGGTATAAGGTGATCACAAACACCCAGGATGACATTTGATATTTAAAGGTCTCCTTGATTACTAAGTGCTCAGGAGGAGGACTGCTCTATTCATTTGTAAAGCTTCTTGCCATTTCCAGTTATATGGCACATGAATTGTATGTTAAATTGCTGCAGCACAGAAATTGTAAGATGCATCCCTCAGTATACATCAAACAGTAACAACCAACTGGAGGATCAAACACAATGCAGATGTTCACCGTTCTTTTGTCACAACAATGATGTGATAGATATATTTATTTTTAAAGGAGAAATGATCACGGGCTGAACGAAACAATTCCCTGGCGTCTAAAAAGGGCAAGATGTTTCAATGCTTACGTCGTCCGTCTGCTGAGGCTCCTGCATGACAAACTCCCTGACCATGGAGGGGCTGAATTCCACCAGGTAAGAGAAGATGTCTGTAGCTGCTGCCCTCACCTGCAGGTCGTCCATTCCCTGAACAGGAGAAATAAACGAGTTAAGAGCCGAACAAAGAGAGATATCAACACACTATAATGTTTCACAGTTGGACCATTCACAGACAAGAAACAAAAACCAAGGGACTGTTTCATGAGCAGCCAATTCATGCAACGCCCAGAGTATAATGATAAGATTGATAGGCTTTATTGTTCCTTTGGGAAATGTGTGTTGGACAGTAGTGCCTGCAGTATAAAATCTCAGCAAGACAACAGAAATATTCATCCAAGTACACATGCCAACATACCATCACTATTTCAAGAGCAGGTAAAATTCCTAGATTTGCCAGAGTTTTAAAGAAAGCATCTCTGTTTTGTGGCTGCAACGTCTGTGAAAAAGCGCAGAATTCCTTGACAAAGTTCACCTGAGGAGAAGAGAAAACACAGATTTAATGTTACATCAAGATTCGACAGATTCAAGGAAACCGTTGAAGGTCATTGACAAAAATACTGTCTTCAAGCATTGTTGCATTTGTGATAGTGTTCAACAGTGGAAGACATTCTGGTGTAAAACAGTCATCCTCCCTATTCCAGGGAGAGACACTTTTAAAAAAAGGTTAAATAAATGACAACTGCTGAGCTATTAGAATGAATGATTTCCTATGTTACTGTCATTGAGAGGCTTAACTGTAGGAATACTGTTGCCAATGTGGTTGTATTTTTGATAGAGGTAACTCACATCAATATCATTATGGAAAACTGCAGAAATGTCGGTAAATATTTAACCCTTGTGATTGAAATGGCATGAAAGACAGCAATCTATATATTTAAAACAGTAACACAGAGTACATTTAATTCCCATAGCAATGAATAGCAACATCACTTACAAGCTCTCTCCTTTTACTGTCCTCTGTGGCTTCATCTGTGAGCTGTGCAAACACCTCTGTAAGGAACTTCTCGTCCTCCTGTGGCACATGAAAAACGGGGTTCAGAAATCAAATACAAAGATGGACAAAATACGGGAAAATGTGTTCGTCATTTAGTGTGAGTCACAACATAAACTGGTGTGCTGTTCCGACGACACAGAGAACCTATGATTCTAATATACAATCATGTAGATATCCAACACCTGAATATAGAAATGGACGGACAGTCATTTGGATGTACAGGTATCTTTTTGAAATAAACACATGCTTCACATAAGCTCCATATTAAAAATCCACTTACAATCAAGACAATGGACTCCCGACTCATTCACTGATTGACCTGACAAATTGTGTTTAAATTATTTTACATTTTTAATGTTTCAATCGTCATATTACATTTGATACTGTTTGAGCATGTATATGGAAATGTAGTAAGCAATTTAGCCAAAAGTATGAGCCATGTTATTCTTCAGAACCGCAGAGAGGGCAGGTTCTCTTGCACATGTTAAACAAAGTTCAGTGGCAACTGATATTAAAACATTTACATATACATTTAAGAAAACACATGCGGCAATGTTCAATGCAACCTGTTAAAATGCCAACGACATTCGGAAGTAAAAAAAAAAAAAAAAACGTCCGACAACGCATGGTTAATATATTGTACTTTTAGAATAATAAAAAGTTACCTGGTTTTGATTATTACCTGCAACATACTGACAATCTCCACCTTGTTGAAGAAGATAAAGGAGGTGAGTGTGGACAGGAAGTTCTCCTCAAAAACAGACGGCGTGGGCAGGATGATGTCCTGGATGTACTGCACCCGGTAGGTCTGGTGGATCTTCTGCCGCAGCTCAGAGTCCGTGATCGGGATCACTTCTTTAAACTTTGCCGTCTTGGTCAAGAATTCCCGGTGCCGTTTAGGCTGAACCAGCGCCGGGTCATACTCAAGGCATCCAACCACATCCATGATACAGTCATCAGAGAACATCACCTCGAATAGGGCCGCTTTATTAAGGAACAAGACACCCCGAACAATCTCATAGAGATGATGTAGGCCTTCTCTGTTGTCCAGGTCCTCGCATACTCTGAAGAGACCCAGGAGTTTCTTGATGTAGCCTTCGCTCATCAGGGCCAGGGCCAGTTTTTCCCTCCTGATGGGTGAAGAGAGGACAGATGTAACCAGGTCAGCGATCTCCTCCAGTCGGCTTAACTCGCAAGGAGGGAGCTCCACCAGGTGGCTCGTCTCTGGAATCTCCTCAAAGCGTTCCTCCTCCGACTCATCAATGGGGTCCTGGGTAATGTCCAGGGCAGGGTCCTTGCCTTGAACCTGGAAGATAACAAGTTGGTAGATATGAAGTTAGGTGTCAAACTAGAAGTTTCAATGTAGAGTTCGGAGCAGTGTCACTTAAATATCAGTTCTAGAAAATTGAGTTTCACCCCTCCCGTTTGAGTACAACTTTTTTTCTTTTTAAATGCATACTGTAACTTAAACTGGATGGTAATTACCTGGCAGATCTTCTCCCATATCTCATCGCAACCTGCCTTTTCCTGGAAACTTAGGGCAAGGTCATAATTGTCAGCTTCCGACCAGACAATCAGTGTGTCCTGAAGTAGGAGAGAGAAACATCAAACTGTACTATGAACTGCTCATCATATTCACAGGAAACACTGAAACATGGTTGCATGAACTCACATGATCAAAACACCCTTCCAGAGAGTGAGCCTTCACACGTTACAAACAAGTACTTTAAAGGCTTTTCATATCCTTTAGAAAAAAAGATAAATGAGATTGCTTTGTCTACAATCAGATCTATTCAAGTACTCAAATCAAGTAACAGTTTTCTGTTACAGATTCCTCTCCACATACTGAATGATAATATCAATAACAAGTGTTCAAATACTGATGATGTTACCAGTCTATTGCTTGATACCTAGTGTAGACCCCAAGATACTGAATTGTCTGACAGCTTGTCTGTGTTGCATCATTGAAGCAGTATTTGTTTAGCAACAAGTCTCAATGTTGAAATGATTACATTTTCACACTCCAAGTCTTAAATGACCCACTGTTTGCTACCTTCTGTAGCTGATCAAGATTATCTTTTCTTACCTGTTGTTTCTGATATGCAGTATTCGGGCTTATCTTCGACTCCAATAGTAGAGATCCTAAAACACAAAGGCTTGGGTAACTTGATTTTCAAGCTGGTGCGAATGATCACAACAAAGATTACCACGACTAATTCTCGAAGGTTAAGAACAATTCATCTGTCTTGAAGTTGGAGAGCTTGCGACGCTAGGTAGACAATGTACAAGGATGAATAAAACACTTTTTCCAAAGTTGAAACAAACATCAGAAAGGCTTTTACAACAGTTATCCTATTTAAGTGTTATTCATTTTATGCGTTGGTCTGTGGATGTACTCATAATGCTTTTCAATCCAAAGCATTTGTATCAAGTTAGTACATTTAAGACTAGACTTTGAAGGCCCCCCATGCTACAGATCATGTCGCCAGCTAAACCAAGGAGCTTGCTAGCACAAGCGATTCAATAAATTGTTGCCTTTTCTTTGGGGTAAGTTCTTATACCAATTGTTCCAACAGCTAGAAACGTTACAAACGCTGAAAGGAATTCAAAGCAGCATTCCCAATAAGTTAACCAAGCACACAGTGAACAATTATGTCCGGACAACAAGAAGTTAGCATGCTAATGATAGCCCACATAACGTCAATGATGCTAAGCTAACTGAGAACTCACCGTCTGATTCGGCCCGAACTAATAATGATATTCCCTTTAGCCGTTCAACAAACGTAGAAGAAACGTGTCCGGTGCCCCGATCGTCCCACTGACGGTCTTCATTTAGCGTATATACTTTCACTCGCCGCCGAGTGTCCGACATGGTGAACCGAGTCGGAGCTAGCAGGCTAGCAGAATGCTAACAAGCTATCACCTCACCCCGTCTGGTGTTCTCTACCCTCGACCTGTTAACTTTGTTTCCACCCGCATGTTACACAACATGCACGTCTAAGTGAATTTCACAACAGGAGAGAAATGTATCAGTCGCTATTTTATAAACATATTCCGTTCACGGTGTGAAACAACTTAACGGGAGGCCTATTGTTAAACAGTAAAAATTCACAGAGAACACAACAACTCTAACGGCCTTCTTGCTAACGTCCACAGACCGCCATCTTGTAATCCGATCTTGTGTTCTTTTTCTTCTTCGACGTCAATCAAGCGGTAACTGCCGCGCGGTCTCCTCCTCCGAGCGGAGTCAGCCAATAGCAGGCCGCAGCGCCGCCAGTGTAGAGCGACACCTAGCGGGCCAGAGGAGTAACGGCCGCGGCAATCACCAGCTTATCAGAACCAGAACCAGACTAAAGCAAAGTCGTACTGTTAATATATTTTCTTACTAAAACGTAAAGCATTTATCTTTCGCATTTCACATATTTATTTATTATTTCAATAAATGTATTTGTATTTTGTTTGTTTTTGCACTATTTGTATTGTTTTATGTATTTTATATATTTATGTTGCATTGTTGAAGGAGATTGGGTCTTAATATGTTCATTTCCATAACTACACTGTAGCTATACGACAATACACCGTTTGAATCCTAAACCTGTTAACATCTCTGTAGATAGAGAAATAGAGAGCCTGAGATTCATGATTTGTATTGCCTATGCTCTTTAAATGTTGCACTTATGACATGAATAACTTAATTCATTTAACTTAATAAACATAGCAAAAGAAAGAAAAAAGCAGAAACAACTCAATCCAAGCATTATAAATACAAATTAGAACAAGTAAAATTGAGATATGAACAAAACACATACGTCACACATGTATATCAATACAATTGACTCTATTTCACATCATTTTTTATGAATTTATTTAGGTTTCCTGCACTGGTAAGCCAGCAGACACAGAAGTTATTTCCATACCATCTCAGTTTATTTGTAAAGATTTTGAGCAGCCTAAATGGAAAAAAAAGAAAACCCCCTCAGTTCAGTAATTACTATACTTTCCCTGCCCAAAGAAAGAGACAGTGCAAGGGATTTTTCTCTTTGTTATTTAAAAAACGTTTCCTGTTCTCAACATTGACTTGTATGCATTTACAAATTTAATTAAATGGTCACCCAATGGAGATTTCATCTTAATTCTGTGCTCATTTCAGAGACAAGATTTAGTTTTGGAGTTACAAATTAACAAATTCTGCCAATAGATTACAACAGCCACTCTACAGTTACAGACAGGGGATATTTTTCCACTTTCCTGAGCTTCAGGGCATGAAGCCGTCCTCTCCAAAAATAAAAGTGAATCTCATTTAAGTTACCATGTTACCATTAGAGCAGCGATAAATTGAGTTTTTTTTTTACTCCAGATTCGAGAAACTAAAAGGCATTCTACGTGGACTTCTGACTTGTCAATCTTGTCGCAATAAAATATTGGGCAAAATTAGTTTCAATTTAATTATTAATTTTTCAATTAATCTATTGTTATCATTATGCATGTTTTCTTCATCATATCTTGTAACCAGTGTTTTACAATCTAAAACCTGGTTTATATAGATTGGTCGCCCTGATCTGTTTCTTCTTTGGGAACAATTTGTAGCACTTTGTGTGATAGAATAAAGTCTAGTTCTTTATTTGTTTGCAGTATTTTTTTTGCTAGAAAAGGTTGTGAACTTGCCACTACAAAGCAACCAGAAATTGTCATTTAAAAACTGCTCATGTTTACTGGAAATGCAACACAACATTAAGAGAATATTGTTTTTTTTGTCCCCTTCTCCCACTTTCTTTGCTTTATTTGTCGATATCAGCCTAGGAGACCCTGTTGACACCACATATAGAAGTCTCATACCACAAGAGGCACTACTTTCACACGTGAATAAGAAATCCTTACATAGCAGTGTGTCTGTTGGGGGAAAGCAGGTAAAACAGAAAATAAAAACATAAGAAACCCCTCTACCTGCTCGATGCCGTCAGTTCTGGGGGTGCAAATCTGAAAACCATACACTACAGAAGTTGAAAATTAAAATGTAAAACATGTATATATCTAATATCTAAATGTCCGTTTGTGCTTATGGACTGAAGCACGATGAGAGCAGGACGGTGTATTTGCTGAGATCCAGTTCACTCCAGTGTAGTTTATCACCCCGTACCCACCACAGCAGGGTTAACCTCTTTGTATATAGCACTTGGTTCAGTTTGTGAATCGATCTGTTGCTCTTGGTCTGGTAGATTTCACCACAAAACTGTTTTCTAGTTTAATCTATTCCATTTAAATCCACATTGGTGGCAAAGTCAGAAGTTATCCCGTAGAGTTGGAGATTCACACATCGGTGCCGGTGGTTTGGCTGTTGCTCGGATTCTTGGAGATGCTCTGTTTCTCACTTAGTGTTTTGATCACAGTTGCAGCCGGAGACTGGAGCACCTTCCGTGAAAGTCTCATTCTGCCGTCTGTTGGGTCCCGTCCAAAGTATTTCACCTGTTAACATAAATCCAGTCAGAGACAATGATCCCAGAATGTCAACACAAGAGGCTCATTTCAACAACACAGCCTGCAGTTATTGACACATACCTGTATCTGCTGCCCCACCTCTAAACCCAAAGCACTTGGATGTCTGATCTGAAAGTGGAAGATACAAAGATGTGTTCTGTAAGTTGTAACTTCATTCTCAAACAATCACAGAACCATAGACACAGGTAAACAGTATGCAGAGGGTCATTCACTGACCCGTTTGTGGTCCAGTTGGGAGTTGTGCAGCAGGACAGCACTCATGTTGGGATAAAGTTTCACCATCACTCCAATGTCCCTGAAACAAAGAAGAAAACATGAGCATTTTGAATGATTTCTATTGAAACCTTGAATACATTTCTGTTTGAACTGAAGTCATGCTTTATGTTAAACATCACCATGTATTAATGTACCTTATCTCAATGATGGTGGCAGTGTAGATAGCACCAAACTCCAGCTGCTGTTCTTGCTGCAACACAATACGGAAACAAGTATATTCAAAATGTGTTTACATACATCAGCCTCATGGTGTCACTCATGTTCAGCCCTGTGATATGGTGCTGTAAGTACTTTTTGGTATGCCTATAAAACATCATTATTTCTTGAGTTTGCAGTATTTGAAAAAGGTCCCGAAGAGATGTGGAGAGACTCACATCATCTTTGCAGATGTCACAGATTAAGTCTTGGGCTTCATTCATGGCTCCTGGTGTTGGAGCGAACACAGAGAAAGTCTCCTCATCCACCTGACTTATTGTCACACCTTCAAAAGAGAAAAACAAACAAATGTTTTCCGTTTAAACATTTTGATTAGCATTTATAATGGGTTGCAAGCAAAACAAAAAGGGAAAACTAATGTTTGGTTAGTGCCGTATTTCATTCCCAAAGATGTTCTGTTTGGTGCTCTGATTCAGCTTAATATAAATGTTCAATTATTTGTTACCTGTTTGAGCTTGTAGCTTGCGGAGGTTGTAGCCCCCTGGACCAACAAAGTGTGCTCGTTTGGAAACCGGCACCCGGACATTTTCTGAAGACAGATTAAACACACACCAAACGCATCAGCTGCCAGAACAGATTATAATTTGGTTGCATAAACATTCCTCGTTGTTAATGTTAACTAAAATTAAAAAAACTTTAACTTTAAAACACATTTTTTTTTCGGACGTGTAATTAGCTAAAGTTTTGTTGTTTATTGTTATCAGACAATGATACTACAGATTATTCAATTATTAATTAAATATTTCGTTTTGTTATTGCATTCATTTGTATAGTACTGTATCATGTCTGTATCATCTTTTGTTTCATTTGTATTTTCTTTGGTTTTAATTTACACGCTCGAAAAAAAAAAATGAAATAAACTAAACTAAAATGCTTTGAACACAAGACTTACCAACAACAGGTCCGTTCTCTTTCTTTGACTCTCTTGGCTTTGCTATGCTTTTGTTCATGATACCCAGGATTTCCCTCTTTGCCACTGGAAAATAAGAATAAATCAAAGGCCATCAAGCAACCAAAAATATGTCCACACTTTATTTGTTGCGTTAAATGTTCAGCTTACCTGTGCCCTGTTGGATGGCCTCCATGACCAACTTCAGAGGCAAACCTGGGATCTTCACGTCCGCCTGGAGGTTAAATAAAAGTGTGTTAAGTGTGTAAAATATAGGCCTAAGGGTATAGAGTGGCGAAGTCCCTCCCTTTCCAGGGGAGCTCCATGGGACCTTATTTCTGAAAAAGTATGTATTGAAGAAAATGGCGAGAGAAAGATTATCTTTCGATTCCGTTTGAATTGTGCCACGAATTACACATATGATGTTTGTCAATTTAAAAGATAATTTTGCAAGTCAAAAAAAAAAAAATGTGTCGTAAAACTGAAGTAACACTTTTGTGTGAAACCGCTCAATGAACTACATCTCCCGTCTCGCACCACACACCGAGTTGGCACATTTCACTTCTTTCTTTCAGAATGAGGCGGAAAGTATTAAAAGAGGTGAAAATCACTACAAGTCTGGGCACGTTGAGAGCTGTGCATACACACAAGGGGAGTTAGTCGGTTCCGTAAGAGCCAGCATGCGGGACCGGGATTCTGGGATTTGTAGTCTTTCTAGTTGCGTATTTTTCATAGTCTTATATTTCAACAGTTTTACGACAAACTGTGACTTTTTTGAAATGGAAATTATAGTTGAAGATTGACAAACATCATATGTGTAATTCGTGGCACAATTCAAAGGGGATCGAAAGATAATCTTTCTCTCCCCATTGACTTCAATACATAATTTTTCCGAAATAAGGTCCCATGGGTCGGAAGTAGATGGGCGGGACTTCTCCTCTCTATAATAAGTATTTGGAGCAACACAACTGAAGACAATTTTATAATATCCCCATATCACACAATTTACTTTAGGGGGCTTTATAATTACTACAGGATATGACACTTTCCACCCATGGGACCTTCATTTGGATGCCCCAAGAATTGAAGTATCTTGTTATAAATAATAAAGTATAAGTATTTACAAGCAAATCTTCCATTAAAGCTATAAAACCTGCTGACGTGCCTTATTTGTTTCTCAATGCCCCAAAGTATAATTACACATCACCTAAAATGGGCTATGTGAAATATTCATATGAAAAACTAGCTAGGGTTTAGTTTTCTTCTCAGTTACAGAGTAAGCCAAAAGCCTTGGTTAAGCCACTCTCTCTGAGTCATCAGACACA